GCGATATAAATATACATATAATTATGTTTGTTTTGTTCTTGTTTTGTTATTCAATTGATGAATCATATCTTATTATATGCAGCGAATATGTTAATGAAAGTAAATATGTTACGAAAATATTTGTTCAATCTCATAAACACAATTTGCTTAATTTTAAGTGAATATATATGATGCATGTTATATGTCAACATCTTTACAAAGTCTCTTATGATGTCATGTGGATTTTCCTGGCACGGGAGCTAGCTTTAAGATAGAAACAACGTGTACCGTTAAATCGTTAATTTAAAGATTATGAAATTTGCTGACTGTCCAAAATAGGATCTTGCACACGCGATTAAATATAAAGCAACGTGTATTATCGACTGTGGATATCTCCAATATCTAAGCTAAAGTCTTTATTATTATCCTCTTAGTTTATCGTTATACCATCAGGTTCTTCCCCCTTAAACACGATCTCGTCTCATATATTTTGTTTGTAACTACGAAATCTAGTTAGCTGTATGTTAACCTTTTCAGAATCTACAATTCTTTTTTTCTTCTTCTTATTCTTAAATGTAGAATTCAACGTAAATTCCAGTTCAGATCTGCTTTGGTGTTTTGTCTTTTTCGAACAATTAATTAAATTACCATACTAATTTATAGTTCGAACATATATCTTCGTCATCCTATATAATCAATTTAATTCCTATGCTCATTTATATAAATCTTGGTAGTAGCATAAACTATCATCTATTCTATTAAAATAGAAGCACTTTTAGTGCCTGTTTCTAAACACATCTAAATTTTTTTAAAATATTTTATTTTATATTATATTAAATTTCAAAATTTGGATTTTAATTTAGATATTGTTAGATTTCTTTAAATATAGGTTATATTTAATTTAAATTTCAAATTATTCGAAATTTTTTTAATTAATTTTAATTATGAAAATTTAGATTCAATTTAATTTAAAATTAAAAAAATTATAAATATATTTATTACGAAAATTTAGATAATTATTTTAGTTACTTGAGAATTCTTTGAATACAGATTAGATTTAATTTAAAATTTTTAATTTAAATAAAATTTTCATAATAACACAAATAGTAAATGAATAATTTATTGTATTTTATCATACTCAATCAGTCTAAAGTATAAAATATTCAATATTGATAAATATTTATATTATACAATAATATGATAGAGCAAGTTAGAGTTATGTATTTATAATTACATTCTTATTCGGATTAGTTTGTCAAAACATGTAAAATATTAAAAAATAATTTGAGATGATTAAACGGACCGGTTAGCCAATTCATAGATATGTAGATTGTTTATGTGTAAATCTAAATTTACATAATAACAAAGTTTATAATTAATATTATATCAACATATATTTAATTAACTCATATCCTTATTCTAATAATATAGAAATTTATTTTATTTAAAGTTAAAATATGATAACAAAATTCTTGATTTGAAAAGAAATAAATAATAAAATGAAATTTTATTAAAAAATTTATATTAGAAATAAAAATGAAAAATTCTCGTGCGGATGCACGGGATTAGAATCTATTGTTGTATTAAACTTACAGGTTTATCGACGAAATATAAAATTATTCATTACATATACACCACTAAATTCAAATTTACATCGCTAATAGTGTATAGGTTTGAATAATGATAGCGGACAGTAACGATGAGCATCAGTGTTAATTAAAAAAGAAAACCTATAAAAAGTCACTAAGAATCATCTGTTGGCATAAACGTTGACAAAATCAATGACTCATTTCTCTTAACTACTAGTTACAGTTTGTTCGAAAATTGATTTTCATAAAAACAGAGACCAAATAAATACTCTTAGAAGTATATAATCCAGAACTATTTAACCTCCGTAGTCCGTACGTACATATCTTTAGATGGTTCACCCCATACAAGCTCATTATTTACATATTCTTTTTCTTTTCTTTACATATTCTTAAACATAACAAAATGTAGAATGGAAATTTTGTAATTAGAGCTGGAGAATAGACTGATTCATTGAACCGTTTGACCAAAAAATGACAGCTATGTCTACATATGTTTTTTTTTTTAATGTTATCTCACTTGTATTATAGAGATAATCAACCATATATTAGATATTAATCGGTTCTCTTGTTAGAATTGATCTATTACACAGTACAATTATAGTTGCCCCTACATACGGTAGATTTGGTCTATACAATGCAGTATACGATCTGTTTTATTAAATAAGTGTTATTTTGACACTTTGCACACAGTTTAATAAAACATATTAAAAAATTAATAATATCTTTAAAATATAATATGACTCTTGAAATTTTTCATTAGATCTGAAATTAAATTATATATTTTTTACTAAAATTTGCATTTGAAAATGTAAAACGATACTTATAATGAAACAAGAAAAAAAAAATATTAAACGACATTAATTGTAAAATAGAGGGAATATTAATTATTAACGAATAATTATGAAAATATTATTTTGATTCTGGAAAATTGTTTGCTTGCATAAACTGGTTAGAAACCATATATATTAAAAAAAAAATCATGCTCACTTCTGTCTTGGACTAATTTTAAACAATAACACCATTTAACTCTTTTTCGCTGACCGACAAAAATTGATGATATGTGATTTATGATCCACTGTGATTGGAAGTGTTGTCCAATTGAGGCAGAAGACAGACTTGACTCACGTTCTTCAATTAATTGACCATTTTTATTTTCATAGTTAGTTAAGTTTCAATCATAAGTTAACACCCCAAAAAAAAAATTGGTGGCGGGCACGAGGCTTATTCATTTATACTATTAGAAAATACTACTTACAAGAACATTTTTTTTTTAAAAAAAAAATGAACGCTAATTTCTTAATTTAATCAATTTCAGCGCCGCTTGTACGTAGTCGGTGCCCAAACCTCCGTGCTACGAAGCTTCCCCATTCGTCCTTAATCCATTTTTATATTGGGGCATTAATCATTTGTAGAATGAGTATATCAAAACCTTAAGCATTATTAAATTCATATCTAGTATAAATTATTATCAAGGGGAAGTTAACGCCTCGAGAGTCATAATTTAATCAACGTAGTCCTGAAAATGGGAGAATCATGAGCACAATAGCTAGATTCCGACTTGTACAATTTGGTACATGCATGACTTTCTATCTCATAGTAATAGCGTCATAATTAACATCGAATATAACGTACTACTATTGTACATGTTCAAAGATTAAACTTTTGTCTTTCCAAGATGAGACATGTGATAAAAAAGATTTCTTGTTTTTTTTTAAATTAGAAAACGAGGACAAAACCAAAAAAAAAAATTTAACAGATTCTTCAAATAATGAATCTTCTTCAAATAATTAATTTTTAATGATATTTATGTACTATTCTGTTATTGTTTAAGATAAATAGAAAAGTTTCTTCTTATGAATGTTTTTTTTTCGGTTCGTCTTATTAATTTTATAGTAACTATTATAGCTTAATATTTCTTCTGTTCAGAATTATTTGATGTTTTTTTACACAGATTAAAGATGCATTTAATTTTTATTTTTTCTACACTAAAAATATTATTTATAATTCATTTAAATATCAGTAAGTCAATAAGAAAACAATCTGCAGAATATAAAAGGTCAAAACAATAAAAATTTATTAAATTTTACATTTGAAAAGTGAGAACATCAAATAATTCTGAACAAAAAAACCTCCTAAAACATCAAATAATTTTGAACAGAGGGAATAGTGTTTAATTTGATTTTGATTCGGTTCCAGTTCATTGCATAAGTGCTAGTGGCACTTGAATACGAATAATGTATGTAAGGTCTAAAAATCAGATTAGGAAAAAAAATCTATAAATGTCAATTACCAGAAAAGTATCATTAGCAAGTAGCAACACTGTAATCAAGCACCTTATTTGCTGGACAAATATGAATGAAGAAGAAAACTCAAAACCCATAAGGTCTTATCATTTGAATATTGACAATCAAAATTCACAGTATTTTGCCTATTTGTGAATCCTATTGTATCAAGAAAGCTCATTACTTATTTTTTTTTTTTTGGACAAAAGAAAGCTCATTACTTATATCTGCTCAATTAATGAGTTTTTGTATTGGGGTTGGCTTGCTAGACATGTGTATTGGAATTCTGACCTCCAACGATTTCCCTTTGTCATCAAGCACACATCCGTTGCATGTAATCGAGTGGAAGATGTTTTGAGTTTTGAATGTCTCAGTTTCAGATTTTGGATCTTTTGCAGATCGTTATCGCCTAATCTATATTTTTGCAGTATTTTCGAAGATACCTTTGTTGGCCATCTACAGAATTTAGGATCTTCTTGCGTGTTCTTACTTTTTTGCCCGCACTTCGCTATGATGTTTAACGTTTTGTGGAAAATATGTGTCGTTTGTCAAAAAGTTAAGGCTAACAATCAAATTATTGTAATGCTAATCTTTTTCGTCCACATCATGTCCACAATTCACCTAGGTATCCTTTATAATAACATAATTCACTTATCAAAATCCAACACTGTTTAATATATTCTTCTTTACCCACATCTGTAAAAATCTATATGACTCCATTAATTATATCACTTTTATGTGTATATTTTGAATTAAAACAATATATTTTAAGCAATAATACAAACTTTACTTGGATCTTATCAAACTTTAAAATTAAGAGTGTTTGCTTTAAATTAGTGACAAGATTTGGAGAGAAATTAGGTAACTCACAATAACGTAAAAGTGAATTAATTAAATGGCAAGAAGACAATAATTATATTTAGTTATTTTGATTCGATCTTTATTTCATTTAATTGAAGCGTATTTTTTCTCTACACCTTTTTGTACAAAATGTACTCATTCAATTAACATCAAATACAGTATTTGTACTATTTTTTTTACATGACCTTTCTTTAGTATATATAAGTGATGGAATTTGATTTTCAAGGAACAAGAACAACGTTATTAACTTTTAAACATATAAATTTTTTTTTTTTTCATGATCAATTGGATGACGGTGACTTTCGTGCTCAACATCTTAATCATAGCGGCGATAGTCACCGGAGGAGAGTTTTCTGATATTCCTGATGTTGAAATAGATCGACTCTTGAAAAAACTCAACAAACCTGCTCTTAAATCCATCAAGGTTGGCTAATATATGGTTTTATATGAGACTAAGTTCAAATAGCTACATCTTTTTTATTTATGGTATGTTTTAATTCCTACTTGCTTTTGATTTGTAATTTGTGTGTAGAGTCCAAATGGAGATATAATAGATTGTGTTCATCTGAAAAATCATCCAATTTATGATCATCCTTTATTCAAAAACCACACTATTCAGGTTTGATTTTTTATATTTTTTTAGATTTTTGTTATAATTATTATTACACTTTTTAACATTAAAATATTAAACTTTGTGTTTATAATTTGACAAAATCCAAAACCATAATTTGATAATATTTGAGATAGATCTAAAATTGTTGAAAATATTTCTCAAAATCAGCACTCAACTCAAACTTATATTAATAGATCAAGACCGTTATATGTGATTGGAATAACTATTTTTGGGTTTTTGTTTCTTATGTTTAATCTACTATATTATTGTGTATTAGTTTTTGTATTGTAGATGAGACCAAGTTCTTATCTTGAAAGATGGAATAATGAGTCTTCAAATATGGAGAAGAAGAGTATGGTGAATCAAATGTGGACAAGAAACGGACACTGTCCAAAAAATAGTATTCCGATAAGAAGAACGAAAAAAGAAGATATTTTACGAGCAGGATCAATCGAAAGATATTTTAAAAAATATCCCAACAACATTCCTCGCCATAATCCTGCTAATTCTTATGATAACTACACACATGAGGTGCATTATATAAGTATTTAATAAGCATTAAACCATCGTTATTTTTCTTATTTACATGTATATATGGGCTTTTTTATAATTTTGTATGTGTGTGTTTACATATATAGTATGCCATACTCAAAGTAGATGGTAAATTTCATGGAGCTCAAGCAGTCATAAATGTATGGAAACCTTATGTACAAACGCCAAAAGAATTTAGCCTAACACAAACGTGGCTTGCAGCGGGCCCTTATGAAGAAACTAACACTATAGAATTTGGATGGCAGGTCTTATTTTTTTTTCTTTTCTTGTAGCTACATTTTGTATAAATAAATAATTATATTTTTATCTTTTATATTTTATGGTTTTTCATTGTTATTAATTAGGTTTACCCAGGACGTTATGGTGATGACAACCTTAGAATCTTTATTTACTGGACTGTAAGTTAATGTCTATACTATTATTGTAATTTTTTCTATATTTTATATAAATATGTATATGCAGATCGATAAGAGTTTTTTTTTGTTATTTTTTGGTGTATATGTTTGTTAACTTGGAAACAGTCGGATGGGTACAACAAAAAAGGCTGCTACAACCTTGACTGTCCAGGTTTTGTTCAGGTCAACGGAAAATTTTCTTTAGGTGAAACTGTTTTTCCCGTTTCCATCATCGATGGTAAACAATATAATGTTCCCGTAACTATATTCAAGGTCAGTATAATATGGACTCTCATATGCCATATAAATGCAATGCACATATTCTTATAATATGGTATTTTAAGATTGAAACTCTAGTTTTTATATTATATATAGGATCCCCGTTCAGGTCACTGGTGGTTAAAACTTGCTTACCATATGCTTATCGGGTATTGGCCTTCTACTTTGTTCAACCATCTTGGAAATGGTGCCACCGAAATTAATTGGGGAGGCGAAATAATAAATTTTAATGAGAATTCACAACATACAACAACGACAATGGGGAGTGGACGTTTTGCAAAGGAAGGATTTCGAAGAGCTAGTTATTTCAGAGATATTCAGACATTTGATGAAGATAATAATTGGGAACCAATCGATGGAGCTTATTCATACATGACAGATGAGAATTGTTACAGTTTACAGCTTGACTATGAGGAAATTGGATGGGGAGATTACTTTTTCTATGGTGGTCCTGGTAGAAATCAGAAATGTGTATGATTTACATATAAACATATTATTGATGCAACTATGTGAGTCATCTATATATCATTTACCACCGTTATATAATGTGTATGTGATGGTGCAAATAAATTTCATGAGATCATTTCACTCTTAATTACAATCATTATATATAACACAATCGAAAATCGTCACAAGGATTTAAAAAGCTTATTGGATCATGTGTTTTAATTTATTTATTTTATATCAGTATCTTGATTAGTTATTGTTCTATCACCCTTTTTTTTCCTCTACTCCACTATTACATCACATGTGGCTAGTTTGGAAGGGACGGAAAGTTCGACAACACCAAAACCGGTAAGGCCGGAGAACATAAAAACAATAAATGGTTTATAGATTCTTCATTGTCACCACAGCGGGGACAACGCTTGTCAGAATCCATGTGACAGTAAGTGAAGTTCTGGCAGGTAACAATGCATTCTGATAAAGATTACAATATAAAATGTTTCATCTATCACTTCAAACTTATAATATGAAATTAAAAAACTAAGTGTTATTTAAAAAACTACATATATGTAACCCTTGTATATATGGTGTATATATGGACACCAGTTATAATCATTCTGTTTCAAAATATAAATCGTTTAGGTTTTTTACATATATTTAAAAAATTCTATTTTACCTTTTATTAATATATTATATATGATGCTCACACTAATTGATTAGCTATAAAAATAGAGATACCAATAAAAATTTTAAAAACATTTGTATTAAAAATTAAAAAGTACTTATATTTTGAAACAAAAATCAATCTCAAAACAAATTATATTTTGAAAGAGATAAAAAAAAAATCTAGACTAATTACTTTCACGCACGCAGCAATAGTGTATTATCCAATAATGATACTGGTTTAGATTTTGTTTTTTCCCTCAGACTGGACCCACAAACTATATAATAGCTGCGTGAAAGTCTTTAGATTATGGAATACTCAAAAGGAATATCAGCGAAGAATGTGTTCTTATAAAATTGTAGTCTGCATTATTGTTAGGCAGTTTTGGACAGCTCTTCTTCTTATTTTTTTTTTCCTATTTTCAATGTTATTTTTTTTTTCCTATTTTTAATGTTATTTTTTTTTCTCTCGAAGTGCTCGGTTTATAGTTTCAAATTCATTGACCAATGACGGAAGCAAAACCTTAACAGTATAGATTCAAATAAAAATAATATTTTTACAAAACTATTCGCAAATATCGCCGTATGTCAGTTTTCTCACCGTAATGGCACACTGCTAGCTGGGCTTGTCCATTGTCTGTCGAGATTTTTAATGAATTACGACATAAATGTTCAAATCTATTTATTATTATTAAAAATAATTAAGTATTCTTCTGAAAAAAAATCAAATTCATTTTACAGAAATATATAGAAGCCCTTCTAAGTTCTAACGAATTACTTTTCTGTGTCACAATTTTTTACAGTTAAAATCGAAATACCAGACAGAAAATGTAATCTAAACATTGTCTTAGCCTTTTTCACACAAAAAAAATCTAAACATTGTATCTTTTTTCTTTGTTTGTACCATAATCATACATACGCATACACATTTACACATATGCATACTTTCTCAAGGATAAATTGCATACATATTTTTAGTCTACAGCATGTATGCTTTGAACTTTACAACTAAGTTTCAGTCATTTTTGATGACCAATGATGTTTTTTCTTGGCTTTCTCTAATCAACCCGTCTTTTCTTGTAAGAAACCACTGCAATCATGAAGATGCAATAATATGAAGGTCCGCAATTATTTGTAACGAAATCATTATCAGATAATACACTATTGCAAGGCCGAATCTCAGGAATACCAGATGAAATATTAGTTTCTAACCCCAAATATTTTTCAGAGGTAATAGAAATGAATATTTGCCCCCCAAATTGCAAATATATATATATATATATATATATATATATTAGTATTTCTATTAAATTTTTTTCTGGTTCCCAAATTCTTAGATCCGACAATCAATAGTACTTCCTAGTTACTAACGTTATGTTGCAAGTTTATATATATATTTGCAGGTTTATGGTTTATTTGTTAAACATTTTTAAGATTTAATTTTTTTACTAATATCTTATAATCTGTGATTTCTTTTCCAATTCACTTTCTTTAACAAATACATAATTATTGTTTTCTTACAAAAAAAAAACAACGTGAATCAAAAATTTTGTGACCTTAAGTTTTTAGTGAGCTGATTTTTTTTTTAGATCATTGTTGATTCATTCATTTTCAGGAACTTTGCCATGTTGGAGGCTGTTATCATATTTGGACTGTACTTTTAACCTAATTTCTTACTTTCACATCTATTTACTTTTACCCAATAACTTATCATAAGCTGGCATTTTAGTTATCAACAAACACTCAATATTCTGAGAAACACTTTCTTATGGTTTAATACTAAAATCATGAAAAAAAAACCACTAAGTTTTTTTAAAAAATTAAGCAAACTATTTCTTCTTCTTCCACCCTCTTCTTCTTCTTCCATTATTTACATGTTATATAATTATGCGATCCATATTTTTTATTATTAAAAAGTCAACATTGAATTTAGTGAAAATCTTAAAAGGTTAAAAAATAAGAGATAATTCTTATTTAGAAAATATATAAATTAACTATGTTTTATATACTGTACTCAATATATCTATATACTCAAATTAATAATCAACTTATGTAAAGTGATGTGTATTAATGTTTTAATTTGATTGGTTCAGATTTTAAACAAGGTGTTATCACCAAAATCATTGAAAAAGCTTATGTGTCAATTATATGAAAAAATTTAGTGTTTTTATTGTATTGAATTGTATTAATTACTTAGTCGTTTGGTATTAAAAAGACAAGATCATTCTAAAATTTTATTTCTTTCTGAAATATCTTATATCTAAAAAATGCTAACTCTCTCCATATGAGTGAAACATCATCAATTTTGATGATATAAGAATGATATGTGTCACATTTTTTTTTTAAAAAATTAATTAATAAATTTTAATATTAAATTTTAAACCACTCAAAGAAAATGAAAATTTTTTTTTAATTAATTACTTCTTAAATAACATTTATGTAAATATTAAACATTTATTTATGTTATAATTAATTAAAAATATTGATGGATAATTTTTGTATAAACTTTTGATTTTTAAATGATATTGAATTTTAAATTGAGTGATTTATAATAATATCCTAATACATAATAAATGATGATTATATTTTTTTGATTAATTAATTCTTAAATAATATTTATGTAAATATTAAATAATAATTTATGTCATAATTCATTAAAAATATTGATGTATATTTTTGTATAAAATTTTAATTTTTAATGATATTAAATTTTAAATTAATTGTTTTATAATAATATACTAACACATAACAAATAATGATTATATTTTTAAAAAAATATAAATTTAAAATAGTTGAAGAAAAAAATAGCATGTTATGTGCCGGTATTCACCTAGTATTACTTAATAGTTTCAGTTATTTATCAAATATTCCATCATTTTTGCAAAGATTTTTTGTGTCTTTTTAATTTTTTTTTTAATTTTAGAAAGAGCACTGTTTTACATTTCTTTGATATAATATAATATTTTAGATAAAATTTCTATATAATATTTTCTATTTACTTTACTTAAAATATAAGTCATTTTCATCTAATTAATGATGATATATAAGAACATATTTATGTAATTAAGAGCTTTGTTTTTTTTTAATTTTTGTAAAACATTTCAACGAAGGATTAATAAACCACTTATAGTTTTAATAATAATAATATTAGACAGCTAAAATTCAGACCAGAAAAACGAGAGGTATTGACCAATGAAATGGATATGTATTAATTGAGTGGAAAAAAGAAATAAAATGTGCACGAAAAAAGAAATAAAATGTGCACGAAGAGGAGGGTTGCTTAAGCTAGTCATAATAAGAAGAAAGGGCAAAGGCATTTCAGTTAATAAAATATCCGTATACATATATGGTCAAGCTCTCATACTCGCCTTCACTCCCTATATATACATATAACCTCGTCTTCCCCACATAAACAACACACAAGAACAAAGAAAACAAATTATAAAAACCTAAAAATCCTTTTCTTTTTTTTTTTTTGGCAAAAAAATGGTCATATAGGGAAAAAAATCCTTTTCTTTCTTGTTAGAAATCCTTTTCTTTCTTGTTAGAAATCCGTTTGCAAAGAAGAAGATATGGGAAACAGTTTACGGTGTTGTTTGGCTTGTGTACTTCCATGTGGAGCTTTAGATTTGATCCGAATCGTACATCTCAACGGCCACGTCGACGAGATAACTCGTCCGATGACCGCCGGAGAGATTCTTCAGGCGAATCCTAACCATGTCTTAAGTAAACCATGTTCTCAAGGAGTTGTACGTAAGATCTTGATATTGTCCCCTGAATCTGAGCTTAAGCGTGGAAGCATCTATTTTCTTATCCCGGATACTTCTTTGCCGGAGAAGAAGAAGACAAAGAAGAAAAAGGATCTCCGACGCCGAAGAAAGACTCTTAAAAACGTCAACGGCGATAATAGTGATCATATGGTGAGTACTGATAAGGATCTTGATTTGACGTTGTGTGACAAATATTTGGAAGATGTTATGTTGTCGGAGAAGAGTTGTTCGGCCGGTAAAGAGAATCGTCATCGTCGTAGACATAGTCGATCGGCGTCGGTTTCCACGTGGCGGCCTCACCTTGATAGCATCGTGGAGGATCTTAATTAACTAGTAGTTTTTTGTTTCACTCTTCGTTAATTCTGTCTCTATTTTCTTAAATTCTTTTTTTTCTTTTTAGATCTGGAAATTCGGAATTTATTTAACATCCCGGAGAGAATATATTCAATTTTTTATTTATTTTTAGCATGAAGTTAAAAACAAAAACTATGTACGTAATGTACTAATGTGGGTAAGATCTATGTTAAATTGATGATTTAATTTTAGTCCGCGAGAACGAGGACAAGATCCTAAGTTACGATCATATGATCATTTATCCGCTCAAAAATTTAAGACTTAAAACATGTACGCATATGTAAATTGGATCTTTAGGACAGGAATATAATATTTAGTACAGTTAAACATGAATTTCCAAAATGCAGTACAAACAAACATTTTGTCTCCTCAATACGACGTTGATTTTTCAAGTTTAATATATTGAAGAATAATTACATGTCCAATAATAATGGAAGAGAGGGGATTTAGGGAAAAATAAAACTGAACTTGGTACATAGTTCTGGATGAATTAATTGAGTTATACATTTGATGCCTTTCTTTAAGCTGTGGTCATTATACTATCAAACAAATTTATTAAAGCATTAGAAAAACTGCATGTTCAACTGTAATGCAACGTATTTAGACCGGTTAGTTTAATTTTAAAGTTTCGGTGGTTAATATAATACTTATAAAGTTGTTTACTTCTAGTTATTGGGAATAATGCGAACTCAAGACGGCTAATTAATAAGGGTTTAAACAATAAAGAAAGAGATGTAGACGTTAGGCAATCATGCAGGTTGTCACATGCAGATGTAGCCATGTAGGTGGACCAATCGATAAGCCTTTGAAGCTGAAAACAAACCATATGTTTCAAATAATATAAATTTTTTATTAATATAAAGAGCAAAGAAAGTTAATGCTATTTGCTATATATGGACAAATTTATAAAGGCCACAAATCAATGATTATACATGAAGAAACCGATAGATATGAAATGTTATTATATATTTTTCCATAAAATGTTTTTCTTAAATCAAAAGAATTGGCAAATATATATATATATATATATATATATAGTTATTTAATTACGGGAAGTCGGCAAATGTACAAGATTTTGAAACAATTGTGCCATTGATTTTCCACTTAAATATTGATTTCAATTGAGAAACATGTCAAAGATGATAAAATAGTTTGACAGTGATTTATATGGGTTTTAGTTTTTGGTTCTCATTCAAATAAATGTAGAGATATGTTATATGTAAACTAAATTATACTAGTTTGTTGTATTGTTTAGATAATGCATTTCACTGAATATATAGAGTCGTCGCAATAAGAAAAAAAAAAAAAGAAGAAGAAAAAAATAGGAAAAAAATGGAAAAATTAAAGCTGGCGAGGGCATCTGATTCGGCTGCCTTCACATGGATTCCCATCCTTTATGTCCCATCTCTCCTAAACAGTAAACACCCATCTTTTTGTCCTCAGTCCTCACAACCCTTTTTAATATAAAAACGTAATTTACTTAAGTCACGTACTGATTGTTGATGTAAAACTACACCATTTTTCATTGTGTGTTACTTTTTACTTTTGTTTTTATTAATTAACTTGCTTTTGATGAAGTTGAATGTCGATCTTAACAACTAATTATTAGACCATGTCCATCAGAGGATCAGGGAGAGTTCATAGCTCAGTTTTTTAGGCAAAAACCATTTAAAAAAAAAAGAAAAATGGCTCAATATTGATGAACCGCCTCTTCCTGAAGAGTCTAAAGAGACGGTATCGTCCAAGTATCATGCATACATGGAAAGCTTTGATTGGTCGAAAAATTTGGGGACAATTTTTTTTTTGGCATCGGGTTTTCTCCTTCACACGACTCTCTTCTCTCTTCTTCTTCCCAGATGATTTTCAGTTCGGAGAAAACTCTTAATCACGCCGCCGTAGACTTCTAATCCCATCATCAAGATCCATTCCAAGCATCCGGGTAATAAACTTTGTGGTCTTTAATTTGTTAAACTTTGAAACAGATTTGGGGATTTTAGGGTTTCGAATTTGGGGAAATTTCGAATTCTTTTACTCAGCAACAATTTGATCAGTGTTCTAGACAGAAGAGGCGGAGGTTGAATACCCGATGAAACCGTATTGATTCGGGAATTGTTACGGGAATTATACTCCTGCATTTTCTCATTGTATCGTTTTTATAGGGTTGATGATTTAGTGTTTTGTGAAATTGTTTGTTTTTCTGGGTATGGGTGATTTAGCTTTTTGATTCTTGTTTTCCTATAATTCAGCTGGGATGTGCTCGTAATTGTTGTTTGCTCATTGGAAAAGTAGTTTGATAAAGATGACTCAGATCATGGAAATTCAGGATTATATACACGGTGCTGAAGAAGCAAGACGAAGCTCTTTATGGATCTCAGAAATCTGGTCTTACTTCTTCAGGCATTAATCCCTCAATCCTCCGGCTGGGTTTGTGAACATCGCCTCATGGGTTCTTAATCCAACAAGCACATTATGTATTCTCAAAAGGAGGTCTCTTTCGAAGGCATCAAGAAGTGAATACAACAGAATTAGAGAAAAAAAAAAAAGGGACAGCGACAGATGGCTGGATCAAAAAGTTGAAGAAGAATGCTTGGTACTTGGTAATCTGGAACGTGAGTTTGTTGGTTTTGAGTTGCAGGCTTTTCCTTGCTTTGAATCTGTAGCTATTTGGAACAATGGATCTTTGTATATAATTGATGAACTGTTTTTGTCTTCGATCAAGAGTAATGGAACTTTGGAACTTTATAAAACCATTTTTTTTTTTAATTCTGGTGAACCTCATTATTAGGTTTACTAATAGAACCAGAAATTACGGCAGACTCTTCCCAAAACACAAAACCAAAAAATAATAATAATATATTTTGATGAACTCCTAAGAGCACCTCCATTGGTAAGCATTCTTAAGAGGTGTTTAACCAATTTTAAATTAGTATTTTTGAAATATTGTTGTTTAAGCACTTTTTTTATGATGTTTTTTTTTTAGGGTCCAATGGAAAATGCTTAAAAAAGAATGCTTAAGATTTTTTTTTTTTTTTAGTTTGAATTTGTATTTTTGAAATAATAATCATTTTATTGATTATATTTTCCAGCATACATTATATTTGAAGAAACATATAAAACATAGAAATGTAAATCATAAACCATAAAAAACAAAGAAGTGCTAATCATAAACCGTAATTTGGATTTGTCCCAAATTTGTTCCATAGATGCTCTACTAAATCTGCTTTCAATTGATCATGCTTGGTTTGATCACGAATTGAATTTCGAATTCCCATCAGATTTCCGATATTTGTAGGCCTATCTGTCTCGTACGTTAAATCCACTTGTGAAGTTCTGGTTGCTTCTAGTTGTGTGAATGAGTCTACATCATACTGAGTGTATCCAGCTCGTTCGTCTTCTACTATCATGTTGTGAAGAATTAAACAAGCTCGCATAATCTTGCCTATTTTTTCTTTATCCCAAATAAGAGCAGGGTTTTTGACAATAGCAAAACGAGCTTGCAGAACTCCAAAAGCACGTTCGACATCTTTACGGGCTGCTTCTTGACGTTGAGCAAATAAGATTGCTTTCTCACTTTCAGGCATTTGAATAGATTGGATAAATGTAGCCCAGTCAGGATAAATTCCATCCGTGAGATAGTATGCCAAATTATATCGTCGTCCGTTGACAAAGTATTTCACTTTTGGAGCTTTACCTTGTAATATGTCATCAAAAACCGGTGAGCGATCAAGTACATTAATATCATTTAATGTACCTGGAGGTCCAAAAAATGCATGCCATATCCAAAGATCATATGAAGCTACAGCCTCTAAAACGATTGTTGGTTTGCCAGATCCACGTGTGTATTGCCCTTTCCAAGCGGTTGGACAATTTTTCCACTCCCAGTGCATACAATCAATGCTTCCTATCATCCCGGGAAATCCGCGTTCTTCTCCCTTATCAAGAAGTTTTTCCAAGCAAGAAATTGCGGTGCTTTCACCAAGCCGGAGGTATTCATCAACCGCATCAGCCGCACAACCATATGCCATCATACGAATGGCTGCCGTACATTTTTGTAGTGCACTTAGACCGGGTCTTCCGGTAGCATCTCGTCTTTGTTGAAAGAATGGAATTTGAGTAGAGAGGCTATCAACAATACGCATGAACAAAGGTTTGTTCATTCTGAAACGACGACGGAATATATGGGCTGGATATGTTGCATCTTCTTGGAAGTAGTCGTTCCACAAACGGATGTGGCCTTGTTCCCGATCTCTGTCAATGTATCTCCTTTTTTTTTGTTGCATTTGGGCGATCACCATGATTCATGACAAGATTTTCAAACGCTTGATTGATAATGGTATCAAATCTTTCATCCAACATTTCCTCCAAATTATTATGGGAAGATCCAGCCATATTGGATGAAAGTTTTTTTTAGAAAATTAAAAAGGTAATCGGTGAGAAGTGAAGGAAAAGAAAAAGGAAGTGATATGTTTGTATAATGAGAGAAGTGAAGGAAAAGGAAAAGAAAAAGGTAATCGGTGAGAAGTTTTTTTAGAGTGATATGTTTGTATAGTGAGAGAAGTGATATGGAAATAAATAAGGAAGTGGTTTATATAAGCAAAAATGAATGAGTTTCTGCCTTGCAAATTATGTGGTTTACAATAGAAGACATAAATTACAAAATTCATGTCGGCACTACTAAACAAGTCCATAGAATACAAATTTTTTTTTAAAAAAAAAGACATAACCGATCAATAATGGCTATCAGCCAAAATATGTGGCCCAACAATCTCCACCATTGATCAATAATGGTTATCAGCCAAAATATCGGTCTTCTAAAATCTCATAACTTGTCTGAGTCATATCTGAGTCAAAATATCGGTCTTCTAAAATCCAAAAATCTCATAACCTGCATCAAAACAAACAACAAAAATTAGATAGGAGAAACTTCATAGTGATTAACTTTTGTGGATCATTTGTGTAAGCAAACTTCTTAAACATGACTAACTTTCTGATCCATTAAAATAGTAACAAAGAGGACCATGTTTTCCCATACATAGCATTGAACTACAAAGACTGAAAAAAAGACTCAAACACTTAGGCATATTACTCAAACAAAAACTGAAAAAAAGACTCAAACACTCAACCAAAGACTCATACTAAGACTTAAACAGAAACTTAAACAAAGACTCAAACACTTAGGCATATTAAAACAATTCTTTGATGAGCTTATTCTTTAATTCTTCTTCTACCTCGCTAAGTGGTTCTTGTTTTCCAAGCAGATTCTCCAACATCTTATATTTGCTTGTTTTCTGTTTCAGTTCTTCATCTTGTTTCCTAATCACCAACAAGTTCTGACACTCCAAGACATCAACTTCGTTTTGCCCTTTCTTATTGGAAGCCTCTGATCCATTTTTCTTGGCTTTTGCCTTTGCTGCCTTCACACCTTCTGGCCGCCGCAACCCTTCACATCCAACATGAACATGTGAGCTTGGAGAACCTTCATCTGTCCTTCTTCTTTTAGGCTGTCCACTACCATTAGAAAGGCACCATTTTGGATCATTTCTAAGCTCTCTCCAACAATGTTCCGATCCAAGGTGAACTTGGCTTTGTAATCATTCAAATACAGCTGATTTGCAAGCTTCAACACATCATCTTCATTTTGTCCACTTGTTTTCTGAGAGGTTTCAGAAGCATAGCAACCTACAAATTTGCAGACTTGCTCATTTATCTTGGCCCACCTGTTCTTGCAATGCTACGACACCCTCTTCTCCATTCCAGCAAGTTTGCGACTTGAGGCATAGTAAGTTGCAATCCTACTCCAAAAAGCTTCTGCTTTTTGCTCATTTCCCACTATGGGATCTTTAGATGTGTTAAGCCAAGAACTTATAAGGACAAGATCTTCTAAAGGACTCCATTTTCTCCTTGACTTTCTAGGTTCTTTGGCTGTGCTTTCATCTTCACTTGGAGCTTCGGTCCATTGACTCTCAAACAGAAAAGCTTCTGATTCACCGAGTTGAATGGTTGGTTCAACATTCGCTTGTGTGACAGGTTGCATTTGTGGAGTTTGTTGACTATTTAAGAGATCAAGGAAGCCAGACTCACTATATGGATTCATATTGTTCTTCGCTGGCTGTTAAAATACTAAGGAATGAGAAGAATAAAGATAAAGAATAAGAGAGAAGGAATAAGGAAAAAGAAGGATTAAAGAAAGATAATAAGAGAGAATGAAAGAGAATGAAAACTTGTGTGCATACTGAGAGCTGTGGTTATGAGAGAAGAGGTTTAATGCACCTCTCTCTTTTAATGGAGGCTTTAAAACAAAGGATAAGATAGAAGAGAAGAAGGTTTAGTTCAGTTAGTTTAATTGAGTTTAGTTGAGTTAGTTTTAAAAAGAAGGAAAGATAAGAAGGAAGAGGTTAGGTTGAGTTAATGAAGACAATGGAGAAGTAAAGGAGAAGATAAAAGAGAAGAAGGTTTACTTCAGTTAAAGCACCGATTGTGAAATAAGAGTTAATGCACTTCTCTGTTTTAATGGAGGCTTTAAAACAAAGGAGAAAATAGAAGAGAAGAAGGTTAGCAGTCAGTGTCATACTAATGCTTTCACCTAACCTCTACATTGATCACTACCAAGCATTGATCAAACTTAACACAAACCTCAACCATTCTCTAAAACAAACCATGGCTCGCCGATTTGACAAACTATCAGTACAGAGCAAACCCATCAGCTGCAAACAATTTAACAAACTATCTAACCATACAACTTTGCAAACAAGCAAACCATCAAACCATACAAACCATCAGTTGCAAACAATAAGAGTTAACAAACTAACTAGCAAACAAGCAAACAAGCAAACCATCAAACCATACAAACGATCGAACATGAGTCCAAAAAAAAAAACAACTATAAACCATCTTTGTCAATCGAACCATACACTCAAAGCAGATGAAGAAAATTACCTCAGAGATCAAGGAAGCAGAACCAAATCATTGGAAGAACCAAACCATGGCTCGCCTGAGAAGAAACGATGCCATTCATAATCAATTCCGCCTGAGCCTGACAAGACACGATGCCATTCATAAATCACACACAATCAATTTCGTTTGTGATATATTTCTCCATCTAAACCCAATTCATCTAACAAATTCAGAAGAATCGATCCTAAAATTGGCAAACAATACCTGTTTTGTCTTCCACCATCTCTCCTTAGCCCAGAAAATCTCAGAACAATCTCCCATCGAAGCAATGAAGATTTTCGTGTAATCATGCATGAAGAATTTGCTGGATAATCTCAAAATCGAAAGTTGAATCGAAGGAGAACAAAAACTGTCGGGAAATTTTGTTTCCCTGAAGAAGAGAGAAAGACGATAACAGTGTGAAAAAAAAGAAAAAGAAAAATTAAAAAGGCTGACCAATGAAAAGCGACCACATCGTCGATGCTTAAGAGTGCTAAAAATGCTAATATAAACATCGTTGTTAAGCTAATTCACCCATTAATGATTTATTTTTAATTCAATTATTCCTTAAGCACCTCCTAAGCATTCTCCATTGGAGGTGCTCTAAGATGAGTTCACTAATGTACTTGCTTTTATATAAAAAAACAATAACGCTACTGAAAACTAAACTAAATTTAACTTCAAATATATAAACGGGTCTAAATAGTCGGAATCTAAACAGAACGGACCCACCGGGTAAGAGATGGCACATTGTTATTCTACCGGAACGAAATTGCGACGTCTTGTTACGTATTTTGGCATACTTTCTTGTCCCACAATATACGCGGATATAGACTCGATTGGGTTTGGTTGAGTAATTTATTGATTTATAACCTAGATGATACGGCTCGGCTTAACACTGTTTCGTAATTGTGTGATTACAAAATGTGTATTAGTTGTGCTGTTGTGAATGCTTACAGATGAGAATGTTGGAATGATGCCAATCCATCCATCTAAGTATCGAACTGATTCAGTAAGCGATTTAAGCACACCAAATTATAACGAATGTAATCAGATTATTATTACCCCTAGCCCCTAGGGCGATTTTTTTCTGGCCCTTGAAGTTTGATACTGTAATGCTTTTTTACTAAATTAAAATTTCTTAAACTCCTTTTGTGTGAATTTTACTGTAGATTTTGCTATGAAAACAAATAAATAAAGTGCTTTTGAGCCCAATCTGTTTCTCTTAAAAGCTGGAACTGATCTTTTGTGTAACTCGATATTGCTTTGTAGTTTAAAATCTGCTTCTTATTGAATGAATTAACAAGTAACCAAAAAAAAAAAAAGATTAGCTAATTTTATTGAATTATTTATGCAAGCCTTTACAAATATCTACCTCTTACATATTTATAAATATCTCTAGTTATGAACTTACTATAAAAAGAATGTTACTAATTAAATCAAGATTAAATCACTTGGTGATTATTTACTCTAATTTTTTTCGAGATCAATGGTAGTGAAACCTTCTTCAACAGAGAAACGCGGCTGTATTCTTGTATCTCCAACCTTTTGATGATCAACAGGCAATTTATAACTATCGTCCACGGCTAGTGCTTCCCCTTGCTGCTGATGAACAACGAGCACCGAGAAATGAAAATCCGGCGACGTCAACATATCTCCGATTACACCTAACTCAGGACATTCACTCCAATCCGTGAGTCCATACAAGACCGAAGACTCTAGGTCATGGTCCCGACCAACTAACACCATGTCATAAGCCTCACCAAGTGAGCTAATCGCTTGCGTGGTCTCCACGCCATCTCTCACTATCTCCTCTACGTAATGCACTTTCCCTTTGTTCGCTGCATGGCTCTTGAAGTCGTTGATAAGATCGTACTCGGCCATTTCGCTGTAATCCTCGTCTTGAAGGGAGCTTTTGTGACGGAAATGTATCATCGTGACGTTAAGCTCCGGTTTTTCAGCCATCCTCATACTTAACGCGAGCGCCTCCGCGTCGTCACGGCCTCCGATGAAGAGCACCGCCACGTTTTGCCACGTGTTGGTCATCAAGACGGAGCGACGTCCCTCGCACTCTCCTCGGTCTATGAATATGGCGACCGAACATGGTGCTGCTTCGAGTACATTGAGGTTTATGTTCCTCATTGGCGCGTTGACTTGTCCGACGGTTCCGTCGATTGCGTACTGCTTGTGGAACGGAATCACGATTAGCGTTGCCTTCTTGTCGAGTGCGAGTGTGCATACGTCGTTGTTTATACTCGAGAATGGTGCGGCTGCGGTGAAATGTTGCGCCATGAGAGTACCCTGATGCATCATAGATTTAAGATAAATATGTATTTAGATTAAATATGTGTATCATCTATAACAAAATTGAAGATACTATCTAGATTTTGGTTGTTTATTTACTTTTATATACTATGTATATTTTCCAAAACCAAAACACATTAAGTACATTAAGCAACAGATTGTTAGTTGTAGATGTAAACGCCAAACACAAGTTAATACACTATCTCGTGAAATACTTTTGGTGTTTATGTTTGCATATTCAGTTGTATGTTTGTGTTTATATTTAGTTCATTATATATTCCAAATCAATTAACAACTTTAAGTATTTTAAGCAAATATTGTTGTCAACTGTAAACGTAAACATTATGTCAAAACCCAATCGTTTACTTTAGACTCTAACGTTTGCACTTTGCATTTTCGGTTGTTTGTTTGTGTTTATATCTGCATTTCGTCTTATATTAAGTATGTACACTTCCAAAATTATCTAATAACCTTAAGCATTAAAAAAACATTATTTTGCTAATCGTACCCTAAATGTAAACGTCAAAGCCAAACAAACACTATCGTTTAATTTACTTTTGGATGTTTGCATTTGCACTTTATAAAAAAAACTTTTTTGAAAACTTTTTTATTGGCTAAAATATTTTTGAAAACTTGAACAAGTTTTTATAGAAATATTTAAAGTTTGTATCTATACGCAGAGAAAAAAAGTTAATATTGTGTTTGTTTACCTGATACTTTTGCTCAAAACGTTGGAAGGCATTGACAATGTGTGTGGATTGGGCCGTATTTGGGTCCAGTTTGTTCATCTGGTGGTGCGGCGTGAGGACCGCGTGAGCTCGGCCTTTAAGCTCGACGAGGTGCAGCGTGAAGAACGAGATCGGGTTAAACCTTGTAGGGTAAGTAGCTTCTAGAAGGTTCACCATGGAAGGAACGTTTTCAACGTTGTAGATGCAAAGAAGAAGACGGAGCTGAAGATTGCGTTGTCTCGTGTTGAGGATCGTACGTTTGCTTTTGCTTTTGTAACGTTTCGATGGATCGTATAGGTACACGACAAGGAACCGCGAAATCCCCGTTACGAGCAAAATCGTTATTATCATCAGATTAAAACATTCTGTGTCAACAACCTGAAAACAAAAAAAACCTTAATAAAATCAACTTCTTAACCTTGAGTTAAAGAAATATTACGAGAACTGACTAATCCACTTCCGTGCACTAAACGTCATGTTATTTACCTATTTTTTTTTTGAATTCTAAATTAATCAAAACCAAAGTAGGCAACGTCTATTTTTTTGTTTTTTTTACCTGAGCGTCTTTCCACACAACAGTAGTGTAGATTTCGATGATACCTTGGCAACACATCAAGAACGCTAAACAAAGCGCGTCTCCAATCTCCGTTTTGCAGTAAGCAGACGCAGCCGCTGTTCCAAGGAACTTGCAGCCATAAGTGACCAAGAGAATGATCTCAATCAGTATCACATGGTGCTCATGGCTCTCTGTGATCTCAAAGAAATTAGTTTGTAACCCACTAATGGCAATGAAACAAGGGAGGAGCATATTCGAAGCAATCATCTCCAGTTTCGTAGCGAGTTCTGTCCCCAAAGGCGGGCCATCAGGGAGCGAAACGCCTAGCCAAAACGCTCCAAACGCAGCGTGGACGCCCATAGCCTCTGCGCTAATGCTAGCCACAGACAAAACCAAGAGGACAGGGAAGAACGGGACAACGTCTTTGTTGTTCAACGATTTGCTTTTTCTCTTGGTGAGATATACGATCAAAGGACTAAAGAGGTATCTAATCACAAGAAGAAGAATAGCGATCATGAGAATCGCGTAAACGCTGCTCATCGTCCGCTCACGCGTGTAGAGATTAAACGCTAGTGCCACGAACCAGCTACAAACTTCACAGACCATTGAGCAGTTGGTGGCTAACCGTCCTAGCTCTGAGTTGAGGATGTTGAGTTCCGCTAAGACCGTGGTTGTAACCGGGAATGATGTCACCGAGCTCAAGGAGATCGCGGTGCTTGTGCAGCCAATCACATCGTTGGGAAGTCCCAAAGTTCTTTTAATGAAAAGAACCGTGAGGTTCCCAAGAGAGAACGGGAAGGCGTAAGAGGCTGTACCGATGAGGATGGCTTTAGAACCGACTTTTTTTATAATACTCGCATCGATCTTGAGTCCAAGAATGAAGAGATGGATAGTGAAACCAACGTTTGAGAGCGTTTGTATTATGATCTTGCCTCCAGCGGGAAGGAACATATTCATGTATTTCATGTGATGTCCCCAGAGAGATGGTCCTAGAACAATACCAGCCTATAAACATACACAAGAATGTTTTCAAAACGTTTTTATCGCGAAAAACAAATCAATTAAAGACATTGAAAAGTGATATGAGAAGGTTATTACCAAGACTTGAGCAGAGATCATTCCTTGTTTTAAAGGTTGAAGGAGGTTGAAGATAAGCCTAGAGGTGATGATGATGACTGACATTTGAAGCAAGAGAAGTGGCATTGCGTATTTGAGAGGGTTACTGTTCATGAAAATGCCTTTTGAGGTCACCATGTTTTGCTTCTGGCACACAAGCTCCTCCATCATGAATGGACCGTGCACTTTTCCCCAAAGGGACGAGTTGGTCTCCCCTCTGCCTAACGCCGACAAATCCATGGTCTTTTCTTATCTGTAAAATGAAGAAACCGAGTACAGAGAGAGAGAGAGAGAGAGAGAGTAGGTTTGGAGTTATACTATGAAAGCTATGTTTTCATTATTTGAGGAGAAAGTATAATGGTAAGAATGCAATAAGAAGGAGAGATGCTTCTGTGTGCTATGTGAATGTTAATGAGATGGAGAAGAAGAAAACAGAGGACTCTGTTTTTACTAGGGGTAACAAAGGCTAACTTCAGATTGGTTCCAAGAGTTTGGTGAGGTCAAAGAAAGAAGACACAGAGAAAGAGAAAAGTATGTGAGAGAAAGAGAAGAAAGATGATCCTATGTTTGTTCTTTCTATTTTTTGTTTCTTTCTATTTTTTTGTTTGGATGATGTTCTTTGCGCATTGTCTCCACCGTTCTAAATATGCGGTTTTGGTTTCATTTCTAAGTTCTAATAATATATAATGGATTAAGATTTTAAATATTTTTTTTTTAAATGGGTTTGACAAATGAAACTAGTTCACACAATGTGGATATTAAAGTGCTAGATGTGTTGCACTAATCAAGCAAAATGGATTATATACCGTTATTATTGCTTATAAATCTTGAAATGTGAAATGTACACCAAATTTAGCAAAAAGACCAAAGACAAGAATCTGAAATGGACTCTCAAGTGTTTAAAGTCACACCCATGAATGTGAGGGTCTCTATGGCCACGATGATATAAACTAGTAACCACCACTCTGTACAACACAAAGCACTGACTGTGTTACAAACAAATAAACAATACAAACAAATAAACAAACTGTAGTGAGCACAAAAGATAAGCCATATATAGTAAGAGTATTCTCAAATCCTAAAATGATAATACTAGTGAGTGACTAAGTCCCAAGAACGTTTTGTTTTCATGAGCGACGTAGCGCGGTTGGGATATCGTGATTGTGTCTTCCTTCATAGGTAGTGAGAACCGCTCTCTCATCTTCTGCAGATCTTTCTACTTGCTTCCTCACTCCACAACCTTGGTATGTGCACTTGTAGTAGCTCCTGTTGTAATAAAGAAGATTTAGAAACATGAAAACAACTTAAGAACAGGAAATTAGTTTTAATGATTTGTAACCTTGGATTAGTATTTCCCTTGACAACTTTTTGACCATACTTCCTCCATCTAAAGCCATCTATAAGAACATCAATGTCACTTATTGTCTGAACCACAACTCTTGGTTCTTTCACTCCTCTGCTTACTTCTACAGACATTCCTTCATCTTCACCTTCTCTTTTCCTGTTACACAAAAAAAAATTCCATAAAAAGTCAATTTCTTTCTTTTTTTGGAAACCTTTTGCTTCCACTAATTATAAATCTGGACTTACAATCTCTTCATCTGAGGTTGGTCCTCCTCTCCGTCTATCTCACCATACTCCGATTTAAAGCTTTTCTCACTGTAGTCAAACGAGATCGAAGAGTTCTCTGATTGATCATGTGTTTCACTAACAACAGAAGAAGGATTAAACACTCGTCTCGCATTAGCAGAGGAAGATATTGACGTTGATCCTGATGGTCTCTTGGTGAACTCGGGCTTAGGATGGTTATGACCTCCTTTGTAGATGATCTCAGTGATCTGACCATCAGAAGCAGTCTCAACAATCTTCTTGGAAACACAATTTGGATACGTACACTTGAAGTAACTCCTCGGATTTTCGCTCTTCTTCACTTGTTTCTGACCGTATTTTCTCCAACCATAACCATCATTAGAGTTCCTGCTCACCATGTACGATGGTATCTTACTCTGCCGATCCGATCCAAAGCTTTGCGTTGCAATCTCACGATGAACCGGAACCTGTTTCTTCTGAGGATCTTGAACACCATATGTTTCTTGCAAAACCTTGAAAAAAAATACAAAGGAAAATGTTTGATTCAGTACAAGGAAGTGTAGCTGCTTTGATTTTGTTGAAAGATGTCTCAAATCCGGGAAAGACATACAGAAGAAACGATTGGTAGTTGCGATTGCGATTGCGGTTGTATCTGCCAGGGAAAATCTGAGTGATTGTTTATTCCATTGAAGCCTTGACATGGAAACGCTCCTGTCGTTGGAGATATCAAACTCTGGAAAGTAAACACAAGCCAGAGAATCATTTCGGATAAGTTAGTTTGAAGACAAAACAGAATAAAACAGAACATCAGAGAACAGAGGAAGATTGGACTTGATTTGATTTCTTACAAGCTTGAGTATTTCACGCGGATCGTGTAATAAAACAAACATGAAACTCGTTTTGTGCTTTTAAGGACGTTTCCGATTTTCATGGATTTTTTGTAAGAACCCAGATATTTTGTTTTCCATTTTTCTTCTTTCAGTGAAATATATGAAAAACGGAGAAATGATCAAGAAAAAAACGGAAGCTTTACATGTGAGGAGCAGAGAAGAAGAGGAGAATCAAGCAAATCGGAGAACGCAAAATGAGAAGATTTTGAAATCGGAAGTGGAGGTGGCTGCGCCGTCTTGAACTTGGGTAAACCCGACCCGGTTCTCTCCAGGTTAAACCCATCACTCTGATATAGCGATACCGACCCGGAAACACGAAAGTCTTCGTCTTCTTGGTAGCAGTCAACGCCAGAGGAAGCAAGGAGGTCGGTGAAAGAAGACGACGACATGGCCTTGATAAAAGGAGACAAACTTTCAAGCTCTCAGAACAAAAAAAGGATTTGCTAAAAAAAGAAAGAAAAAAGCAAACTCTTTTTTTGCAGAGAAATGATCTATGAAAAGAAGATAAAGATGGCTGAAGAAAGGATTGGGTAAAGACGACGACGGTGGCGTATCGAGCAAGGTTTTTCTATCTTTCACATTTTGTCTTTTTCTTCTTGGCCTAAATATCATTTTTAATTATTTTAATATTTTTATATCCATGGTTGACCAATGAGATATTATTTTTTGATGGGTCGTCTCCTAAATCGTGATAAAATCTCCTGTGTGAAACCGCGTGTTTAAAGGTATCTTTCGCCATCGTTGATGACTAAGACCAGACATGTCGTTAACCAAACCGGGATCAATTGAACCAAAAGCGTCAAACCGGCGGTTATACACACCAGGTACAGTCTCATCATCATAATCTTTTAAAGACAAACAAAAATACAAAACAGTGTTTCCTTCTCTGTTCTTATTTCTTGGCAAAAGAGATGATCATTGGATTCTGGGGAGTGATCTTGAAACCCTGAAGAGCTTGCATAGCCATGGAAGATTGAACATCGTCTTCGTATTCCACAAACGCAATCCCTGGCTTTGCGTCGATCATTCTTATCTCTTTGAATCCCGGGTACTGTGCGAAGAGAAGCTGAAGCATCACGCTTGTTGTCTCGTGTGGAAGATTCTGAATGAAGAGTATGTTGTTTGGTGGCATCGCTTCTTGCCCGCTCGGCTGGAACGGAGGCTGTGTTATGATGCAGAGACAAAACGAAAAATCATCATCATCATCAACTCCAGATACAATAGAATATATTATATATTCAGAGCTCAAGGGATGCAACAATGGAATGAAAACCAGAAGATTGTTCTGAAGAAGGTGAGAAAAAAGAATACTTACCGCAGGGGCTGCTCCGTTCTGGGAAGTTGGGCCATTAGCCATGTTTGGTCCTTGGGTTTCTTCACGCTTTCTTTCAACTGAAAGTAACAGATGTAGTTTAGACGCAATCATGCAAGTGAGGGTTTTGAAGTTTATACCATTGAATCAAACATCTTAAAGACAAAATGCAGAGAGGAAAAACCAAAGTTACCTTTTTCTTCTTGCTTCCTCTTCTTATCTCTTGAAACGAAAGTTCCATCAGCTTTAGTAATACAATCTGACTTTGATTTTGCGTATTGTATGCGCTGCACTCAAAAGACAACACATTAAAACATTTTATAACATATCAAACCTGATTGGAAGCAGTTGAATAGTTCATACACTCGAAAGAGGCAAGATTTTAGTTTTAGTTATACAATGCACATAACAAACAGATCAAAGATTTTGACAGCAGACAACACAAGAGAATGTGATGAAGACGGGACTATAAACATCAAAACAACAAAATCGAAACACACACATATAAACTGATAAAAGATTGGGAAGAAAAACGGTGAGACAGAAATGCAAAAGACATATCCTTAAGCACTCCAATCGATTCATATGACAAACAGAAGCTCAATTTCAGGGAAATTCTAAAGAGTTTGGTAAACTCAGAGAGAAAATAGTTGAGAAAGGTGATTGGATACTGACCATTGGCTTATCATAGAAGGGGAAATTCTGCATCTGACGAACCGCATTACTAGCAGCAGTGACTTCACTAAATGCAACCCAAGCTTGTCCCCGGAGCTTTGGAGTCTTTAGAGCAACAACATCAAGAATCCTCCCAAACTGAGAGAACAAACAGTAAAGAGATCTCTTCAATTCTGGAAAACAAAATACCAAAGTTAGATAAACAAAACCCCAAAAGCATGAGATTGATATTGATACTGCCCTTAGCCAACACTAGAGAATTCGACTTCAATCGTGAAAGCAGGGATTATAAACATATATCTTCCTCATAACCTCATCACTAGATTTAATACGATTCCGAAACCCTAAAAGTTAGAGACGAACACTCTTTTAACAGCTAAAACAAAACAAAAATTCTAACACTCAGCACTATAGCAGCTGGATTAAGCTACAAGAGGGAAAACCTAACGGGAAACTACTGGTACAAGAAGCTCATGGAATGTTACAATATCTACGAGTTTCGAAATCGATAGAAGAATTCGGATAGAGAGAAGAGAAGTTACCTTCTTTCTTGATCTTTTCGTTGAGGTTTTTGATGTAGATTGACTGATTCGGTGGGATATCTGCCGTCAACATTTTTTCCGACTGTGTTTCGCGAAGATGACGACGATAGCGAGTCTGAATAATTTAGCGAGAGACCTAATGAGAAACGAGAGAGACGAGAAGAAGAAGTGTTTAAGAATTATGCTGTTTCCAGTTCCAGACTTCAAAACGACGCCGTCTCCATTTATGTTCGATGGTTTATGGTTTATACCTGGACCGACCGGACCGGATTGAATCAGACCGTAAATCGAATCAGTAGCCGGATTGGAATTTTGGCAATATTCCACAAATTTTGGAGTACATTATCCCAGGTCATTCAAAGTTTCAAACGAATTGTTTGACTCAAATTTAATAATTTTTTTTTCTTATCTTCAAACGATGACATCTAAAATCTCATGGGTCAAGGCCAGATTATAGAATCAACAAAGTGCAATCACCTCGTATCTACATTTTATGTGAGAGCCGATTGATGCAAAGTACTAAAATAATGTCTTTGCTCACATTTTTCTTTACACAGTTAGGAACGAAAGTGAGGACTTTTGTTTCATTTTCTTCCTTGAAGAAACACAGCCACCATTGCGACTACTAGAGAATGATCCATGGATCCTGGAAATATCGTTAGTCGAAACTTGCTTCTCCCTACGTAAATCTGCCTCAGCTTGTACATTAAACTAGTCTGCCACCAAATCAAAAGGAACAAAGATCACACTGAGGAAAAACTTCAAGCACAAAGAACAGAAATATCTTTTGACATTTTTTTCAGAATCCAACAAAAATATCTTCAAATGAACAAAAAATGTTGAATGTGTTTCTACAATCGTAAGGCTCAATGCTTTTACCATAACTACATCTCACATATTCCATCAGCAAGCAAGAACCAAAAGAGTATAATGTGTTCTTGTCTTATTTGAAAACTAATGATATCACGCTCAAAAGCTCTAGAAATTTGGATGTAATGGAGAGTTTGTTTTTACCTGCGCAACAATGGAATCTTGACTGTAAATGGTACATGATTTCTGAAAGGGACAACCTTTGATGACAAGATGTTGCAACGATTCTCCAGCGATATCATTGTTTGCAAATGAGACATCTAGCTCTGTTTTGCTGAACCTGTTCAATGTCCGCTTCACCGTTAGAACCAGCTCCTTACGCTTTGCGACATCTCCTTTATGTAATTCCCAAATTCCATTCTACATTCCAAAATACATACGTAGAGAGGTCCAAGCCATGACTAAGTGTCTCTATAACCATCAAACAAACTAACAAAACCAAAAGAATCGAAAGAATGTATGTGTACATCAAAATATGCACTTTCACATGTACATCAAAATCTTCATTATCATATTGTCAATCATCTTAGAAATGCAACATGAAAAATTTGTGTGTATGAATGAGTTTCACTGTGTAAGATAGACTCAAGTCAGGAACTGTCTAGAAGCTATTGCAGTAAGCTAATGGGTTTTTAACAAGCAACAACTATAGGAAAAGCAAAATCGATGAAACTGGGAACAAAATCAAATCTGTCGGAATTTATATACTGCTTACGTGGAGACGCGAGATGGAGAAAAGTGGAACACCGGAGGAATCAAGGAGTGATTTCAGGGAGGAGGAAGAGGATTTGCGGAGGATGAAGACAAGACGGTCGGAGGAATCGGCAAAGCCGAGATCGCCGGAGGAAAGACCGGGAAGCTTTTTGGAGGCGAAGAGATCGAATGGTATTCGCCGGAGATCGTCTGGGTCGGGGTGATAAGGAGTATCTGAATCCGCCATTTACATAATCTGATTCTAACAGTCAGAAGCGGAAGGTAGAAGAAGAAAGAAGACGACTACGACCAAGTGATGAGGCAGGCTGCTTATGTTCAACGCCAAATAGTTTTTTTTCTTTTTTGTTTTTTTGTCAACACGCCAAAATTGTCGTTGAAAATGATCAACCAAATTCCTGGGCCCAAAATTACACTTATGATAAAAGACAATGTCACATCTACCAATTTTTGGTTAGTTTTGTTTTTTGAACAATTTTGATTCACAGCCTTAACACTACTAAAGTCTTTTAACATCTTCATCTTGTAACACAAAGCTCACCGGTAAGACCATTTAGTGTACTCAAAGTCCTCCTCATCGCTGTCTCCATAACCATTCACATCCTCCTCTGCATAACCATCATACTCGTCGTCGTCTCCAAGGACCATTCTCACATGTCTTTTTGAAGTCTCCTCGTCTTCTGATGATTCATCAGAGGCTTCACTCTTCTCTTCTTCATCATCTTCTTCATCTTCTTCGTCTTCTTCTTCTTCTTCTTCTTCCTCGTCTTCAGAAATCTCTTCTGGATAATCGTTCCTTGGATGAGCTTCAGCTAAGTCATACAAAGATAAACATTCACACTTCTTTCCAAACCATAAAGAGATCATTGTACTATCAAATGAAAACAATGCCCCATTTGGTTGCAGGGTACTATCCAAAACAAGAAATGAAAAGCGTTATAAAGAAATGTCTAAGAAGGTCAACACGAAAGGCGTTAAGAATTTGCATGGTAAAAGCATTACCATTTGAATCATCAGAGTCGTAGTCTGATTCATCAAGTCCATCGCAGAATTCTTCTTCATCTTCGACTATGACACTGGAAAAAAAAAAAAAAAAAGAAACCCAGGAATCCATATTAGCAAGTGACACTAGTCAAACACGACAAAGTGAAAGGGTTGTTAGAAGGAAAGAAAGAAAAATACTCACAGAGGAAACTGGTGCTTAGAACTGTCTTCACTGATATCCATGTCTTCGTTTACAGCATAGTAATCATAAACGTATTCTTCGGTATGAGTAGAACGGATATCAGCTTCAATCTCTTCAGCTGCTGTTGGAATAAACTCTTTAAGGAGAGGCAAGAAACTAGCCAGCATTCTCTGGTCCTCCAAGGATGTAATCCTAGAGGAAGAGAGAAAATGCACCTTAAATTACTGTGTTTCTTCATGCACATCTTAATTACAAACGCATATTACTAGAGAACTTACTCTGGTGCATCTTCTGGTCTTTCTTCAGCATCAACACGAACAACGTCATAGAAATTACATCTCTCATGAATTTCTTTATCATGGATGCCTTCCTTGTTTCCCTTCCTACTCCGCCATATTTGCTCAAACCGAGCATTCTGTGCAGCAATCTAATAGATAGTGAAACTTTTGATTAATTGATTATACAAGTCTCGAGTTAGCTACATACAAGGGTACTTGGATACTCTCCTAAGATGTTAATCTCAGATAAACTTTATGAAATGTTCATGACCAAGAGCCAGATACCTGTTGCTGCTCTACAGCTTTGGTCAGGCGCTGTTCCTTTCTCTGCAGACCCAAAAAAAGAAAAGGAGTTTAAGCTATCATTCGAGTAGCAGTCAAAAGATAGAGAATCAGGAATCAGGACTAAAACAACATACATTGTCTTTCTTGAAAGCAATTCTCCGCTCCTCAGACTTTCTCTTACTGCAACTGTGCTCATTAAGATCAGACTCCTACAGAACACACAACGACGAGAATCAGAACATACAAAACAACAACATGCAACCAGAACCAAAAAAAAATTACTCACAAAGAAAGAGTGGATGATGTCAATCGTGGTTTCAGAGTTTGTGACTGTCTCCAAATGCCGCACAAGCACCTTCTTGGGCTTCACATCCTCTGCCACAGAAGAACACATATATCGTCATCAACAACATTCTAAGTTTCACCGAGTCCAAACCATCATCATCATACAAAACCAAAAAGGCCATAGATGATATAAAAGTTACCTTTCTCTTTTGAATCGGAAATAGATAGCTTCGATAAGTCAAGAAACGCCCGTTTGAGTGGCCTTTCATTGATCTCCAACCCTAATTACCATAAAAATTTCAGCTTTCCTCCTTTCCGCACAATAGATACTCACATAGATCCAAAGAGAATTTCCTACCAAAGATAGAGAGCAAAGATAGAGAAAACTTACAGAAAGCATCGAGTGGAGACTGTCCAACTTTACGTTTAACCCTAACAATCACAGGTTTCTCTCCTACATCCTTCTGAGTCGAAGAGCTTTCACCCACCGAAGCCATTGTTCTAAAACATCAAAACAACAACATCAAACATCTACTGTGGAATTCGCCGCTAATTTATTAACTTCTCATTGTTTTTACAGTTTCAAAAAACACAACTTTATAATCAAACCCACGAAAACATTATTCTGAATCCAGAAATAAAATGCAATAGCTTCTGGCCACAAAACCCTTTAGAGTTCTTACAAGTGGAATCTCTCAGGCGAAGACAATTTTTAACTGAAATTTTAATTATGGACATATCTGGTGAACTACAGTAACCAGTCTACTTGATTCACAACAAAGGAATCATCTTTAAAATCAAGTTTGATGTTACCAAGAAAGAGAGACGAGAAGAAGATAGAACCGAGAGAGAGAGAATCGCGAAGAGAGGGAAAGAAAAGTCGCGTACCTAGGATTCGAGTCTTCTGAGTTTCCGGTGTCAGAGTCCCAGTCACCGGAAACTCCAGAGTCCAGAGGCAGGGTTCTGGTCGCCTGGGAGGGACGAAGGGGCTACGAGAAGAAAGTTAGAGAAAGAGACACAGAACTGAGGTAGACCAAAACCATATAATTTAATAAACCGCTTGGAAACTATCCGGTTAAAAGAATTCGGTTTTATGAATTCGATGGGGTTATTTGGGATAGCCGAACCGAATACTGAATGTCGCCATTCAAATCAACTAGAAAAATTCGGATATTGGGCTTCATAGGCCCATAAAATATGAAATGCTGATTTGTCTTCACCAATATAAATGAAGAGATGTTTTACGATCAAATCTTTTGAACGAAGTTAGTTAGAAATGAAAACTACATCAGTTTAAAAGGTGGTTAAGAAGAAAAATAATATAACATGGTTGATAATATATTATATATAATAGCGACTAGCGAGTAAAGTGTTTTAATGGGAAGCATTATTTAATTTCGCGTATTTTCGTTCGTTCTTTTGTTATATATAAAAGCGACTAGCGACTAGCGTATTTCGTTCTACTCTTTTGTTATTATGGATTATGTAATATGTTATATGTAGTTGATTCACAACAAGAAAACACTCCATTTACAACAATTATATTCTTTGTAAAATCGTTACAAACAGGGCTTACCATTATTTTACGACAAAATCGTAATCATTGTAAAATCGTCGCAATCGATAATTATTTATTATTTATTATTTTATATTTAAAATAATAATTATCGGTGGTGGTCGGTGTCTCCGGTGGTGATCGGTGTCTCCGGTGGTGGCCGGTGGTCGCCGGTGGTAGTCGCTGTGGTCGCCAGTGGTGGCCGATGGTCACCGGTGATGACCCGTGGTGGCCGGTGGTGTGGCAGGTGGTGTGGCCGGTAGTTATTCTGATGTTAGTGATACACTGATTGTTTAATAGTTATGAGTAGATATATATATATATACAAGAAAAATTTTTCCAAAACTACCGATATGGGACTTTGTATCTTTTATGAAATCGTTGTAAAATCGTTGCAATTTACGACGATTTTTTAAAAATTAAATAAAAAATAAATAAATAAATCGTCGTAACATCGTTGCAATTTACGATGATTTGTTTTTTTAAAAAATAAATAAATTAGAAAAAAATCAAATCGTCGTAAATTGCGACGATTTTACAACATTTTAATTTTTTTTTTAATTATTTTCTAAAAACAAAACATTGTCGTAAAAACGTCGTAAATAGAGACGGTTTTACAACGATTTTCTTTGCAACGAATTAACGACGATTGTATGCTAAATCGTCGTTAATTCGTCGTTAATTTGCGACGATAATAATTTGTCGTAAAAAATCGTTGCTAACTCTGTCTTTTTTTGTAGTGCATGTTCTATATGTCTGATGAGAATGTAACCGGAGTAAACCGGCACGCATGATTGGATCAACAAGGTCGAGATGGATATATTGCTTTTAAATAGAAAAAAATTGTGGAAACTTATGTGTTATTACGCTCTTAGATCTTAAGTAAGACCTCTAAATTCTAATTTATCTTCGTAAACTTTATTTTTTTTTAGAAAAAGAGCATAAAGAAACTTGATTTCTTTTTTTCCGCTTAAGGGTTCGATTTGAATGTTTCAGTTAAGGTAGTAGCAAATGTTTAGTTTGGTGATATTTTAAATGTGTTAATAGTCTTCGAAAATTAAAAAGAGTTGAAGATAAGCCGAATTGGCAACTGGAGTAACACTGGAGTTGGTGATCCGTGTGAAATTATTGGAAAATATTCTGATGAAGAACGGACAGTTGGACATCAATCAACGAGATATATACGACTTCTTTCTTTTGCTGTCTTTAACATTCTTTCTCGTACTTTGTCTTCATATTTTATTCATATTTTCTTTTTTTGTTGCAATGAGAATTCTACTAATATTATATAGATTCCCGCGTAGAAATCATAGGACAAAGTGACACTAGGCAAGAAATTTAGGTTAATGAATTGCTAGTCGGTTTCGATCCTAAACCTTTGCCATGGTGCGCGTTTCCGAGAAACAAGGGCATTAATTAACATTTCTGTTTATCATAAAACGTGAAAGAAAATGAAAGTATATATCAATCACGCCTTTTAATTTAGTTGTGAACATTATATAATTTAATTGTATATTTATATGCCAATTGTGAATTACGGACTATTATATATCAAGAATTTGAAATAAAATTGTGTGGCCGTACTAATTTATTGGGTAGACTTTAATTAAATAGTATTTGAATATACTCTATCATTGTGTGAAATACAAATAAATGAGCAAATGTCGCGTAGAATTATATCGTCATATTTATTCCCTACATTTTTTTTTGTCACAATACGTGCTTTGTTGTAAGTATTTCCAATAATGTTGAATTTTGGAAAATTTAGATGAGTGCATTTATGTATTATTCTTTTTACTATGATATAGATTTGGTATAGTTGCAGTTTAAAACTATAAATAAAAACGAAAAACAGATTAAAAAATAAAATTGTAGTTTACAAGTTTGTCTATTAATATTGCATATGTACGGCTTATTCAGGACGGTGCTTTCAGCGGCCAAAAAATAGACGTCAATGGATTCAGTTTGCGAAATCTAATATTGTGGATTCTGTAAGATGTAGACACGATCCATCAAAATGGACTAAGTTCACTGAACTCTTAGTTCTAAATGGCATCTCTAGTCTCATATTAATCCAAGCAAAGATACATACTCTGTCTCTAATATAACTTCTTTCATGTTAGGATTTTAGAGATATAAAATTTAATTGAGTATTGAACATCTTAAGTACCTCCAAAAGGAAAAACATGCTAGTATTTTAGATATATTAAAAAAAGATATAAAGTTATATACTTGGTAACTTGATGATTGTTTGTTGTGGACATATTGTCCTCAAGTTATATGATGAAACAATATTACTTGATTGCATGTCGTCGTCTATACTTGTAGAACCCAATCTGAAATTGTAGAATGATGTTTATGTTACTTGAACATGCACTTCGGGCTATACGCATTAGCAAACAAATGAATAATCATAATTTTATTCGGTAAAAAATGATATTTTTACGAAAAGATCAAACACATTAAGATTGATTGCTACACGAATCATGATCATCTCAAGAAAGGGTTTATAATTTCTTCTGATTCGGACAGAGTTACAAATTATCTATGTGCTACAAATTTTTGGTCACAAGATCTTTCCACCTTAAGATAAGACGTTGATGTAATTTTAACCATCTTGCTCGTTATAAAAGCTTTCTACGTATACTTTTTACTTTTAATGAAAAAACCAGATTTATAACTAATTATGTTTTCTCTGGTTAACACTCACGCCTAATTAATGTTTTGCCTAGATAGGCTTTCTATCTAATTAGTGACCTCCCTAACTCTCCTATTTTAATTTTTCTTTTCAATTACTTATGATTAAGTTTGTTTAAAAAAAAAATATATAATTGAGTAATTGACTATTTATTTATTAGGCTAAGCTTCTTCCGAAAACATGGCTGGAAATGAATGTGGCTGATACCAAGTATGTAGCTAAGAAAAAGAAGAAGATTAAACCAAGCATGTAAATTAACGTTAGTAATAATGTAATATCCGTACTTTTTTGTTTGATAATTAAAAAAAAAGTCTTTTTCTTTCTCTTCAAAATAGAATAAGATGTCTTTCATCCATCCAGGATTACATACAAATCTTTTTTTATCTGAGATTACATACACAAATCTATTAACTTAAAAAATTTTGTTTATCAGCTGTAAGATTATCCGAACTTATTTTCCAGCAGTAATCAAATAGATAATGTTCCGTAAGAATAAACGTTAAAATAAAATAGAAGTACAAAAATTATAAATAGAAAAATTACATAACCGCTGGTGAAATACCATATACTAAAATAAGTAGCTAAAATGGAATAAATAAAAGGCGGCAACATCAGCATTAATTTAAATACTAACAAATAGCTAAAAAATGTAAAAATAACACAAAAAAAGGCAACATCAGTATTAAATTTAAACTTTTAACTAAATCTCAATTTCCTCTTGCCTTTTCTTGAATAACAAACTAACCACACCGTCATAACACTAAAATCATATTAGCTAGAATTATAAAATCGTAATCAAACCTCTGAGTTATAAATACAAATCCCCCTCAACGAGTGATATACTAAAAAACTTCACAATAATCTTTTTTTTTTTATCAACCGACATAACCACTCTCTCAAGAAACATGTCTCCAAACGTTCTCCGGTGGTTTAGCCTCGTCGCTCTTCTCTGGCTTCAATCTCTCAACGGCACAAACTTGAGTTTCCCTGCTTACTCTTCACAGCTCAAAGAGTTTCTCTCAATCTCTCAGTTTAAACTCAACTACCTCTCTTTTGCCTCCGACGCCGGAAAAGTCCTCGGTTTTATCTCCGGAATCGCCGCCGTTCATCTTCCTCTACCACTCGTGCTTCTTGCCGGAGGTTCTTTAGGCTTCGCTGGCTACGGTCTTCAGTATCTCTGCATCGTCAAGAAGATGTTCACTTTATCGTTTTATCAGATCTGGGGCTTGAGTTTCTTGGCCGGAAACAGTATCTGCTGGATCAACACGGCTTGTTACATCGTAGCCATCAACAGTTTTCCGGTGAATCGTCAAGTTGCCGTGGGGATCACGGCGAGTTATCAAGGTCTGAGCGGGAAAATATACACCGACATAGTCCACACGTTCTTCTACTCGTCTCAACGTGAAGCCGCTTCTGGCTATCTCTTGCTCAACTCTCTCGTTCCTTTGATCGGTTGTCTCGTGACGGCTCCTATGTTGATGAGAGGCGTGAAAACTACGTTTTCTGCGTCTGGGGACGTAAAAGTCGGGTTCGTGGTTTTGTTCGGTGTGACTATAGCCACAGGAATTTACGCCGTGGCCACGAGTCTTGTCCCGGCTCCTGCGGTTTTAGTACTCGTAGGCATTGTTTTGCTTCTTCTTGCTCCTCTCGCTATTCCAATTGGAGTTAGACTCGAGGAGGTTAAGTCGTCAAGAAGAATTCAACAAAAGGTACACGACTTGGAAGCTCCAATAGAAGAAGAACAAACGAAAGAAGAAGAAGAGTTTGATGAGAAGGCAATAGTTGGAGTTAAAGAAGAAGTCGAGTGGACAAAACTATGGAAGAAACTCGATTTTTGGATATATTTTGGACTTTATTTGTTTGGTCCAACGGTCGGGCTAGTGTTTATGAACAATCTTGGTCAGATCGCTGAATCTCGTGGCTGCACAGCGACCACTTCCTTGGTCGCTCTCTCGTCTTCGTTCGGGTTTTTCGGCCGCTTGCTTCCTTCCTTACTCGACTACTTCTTCTCTAGGTAAAATCATTTCCCTTTTTTTTTTTTTCCTTCTTTTTAGTTTTCTTACCTTTTTGATTAATTAGGAAAATATTAATAGAACCTAAAATCAATTATTCCTTCATAATACAACTACGTTGACCTAGCACGTACAATTATAACATATGTTGCATTCCTTGCATCTACGTGTCTGGTCTGATTCATTGAATAACCTCTGACAAATCGACACACATCTTTATAATTTTGTTTTCCCTAACTTATCGGAATTTATTCTAACTCTATTATTTTATATTCATTACAGGAGCAAATACATGCCATCAAGCCCAGTTTCTATGGCCGTCTCACTGGTTGCCATGGTTGCTTCGTTTCTGCTTCTCCTCATTGACTCCAACATCGCTCTATACGTCAGCACGGCAATGATCGGCATCTTCTCTGGAGCCTTGACTTCTCTCTCCGTCACAATGACTGCAGAGCTTTTTGGGACAAAACACTTTGGAGTTAACCACAATATTGTTGTTGGAAGTATTCCAATTGGTTCTTTCGCTTTCGGTTTATTAGCCGCTAAAGGTTACCGCGACGGAGCAGCCATCTCCTTTGGTTCTGACGGCAAGTGTTATGGGATGTTATGCTTTCAAACCACTTTGATCTTCTGGGGAATGCTCTGTTCTATCGCCGCCATTCTTGCTACGGTTTTGTATGTGCGCAACCGCAAGTTCTACTCGAAGAAACCAGAAGAGACGCAACAAATTTTGAAAGAGGAAACACATTGTTCTCCATCGGTTAATTCACGCGACTTTGTCAAACAGTGGGATTTTTTGGTACCAAACTAATTTTGGTGATAGTTTGCGTTTTTGTTATAAACCGATGGTGAGAAAGTAAATATTTTGTATAGAAGAGACATGCAGTATAAAATAGATAGAGATGAAAAAAGGATGTAAAGACTGATTTTTGTATAAAGATCCTTTTTTAGTTCTTATAAGTTGGATGATAGCAAATTTAATTTGGTGCAAAAAAGGTTCAACATAAAATTATGCTTGTTGCTAGATTAGTGTAAGATCATTTATGAATGTTGAAGAATTTAAAACGACTGTGTTTGAATATAAGTGGGAAATATGACTTGACGAAATTTCGGGTGAGTCCAATTAATATATATGAACATAATATTCTGTTGGTAGTAGTAGTTGATGGTAATGTTGGTTTCGAACGTGGGTCCAAGAAATATTGATCATGCGGCTGTTATTTTAGTGATTTTAATTCTGATGTGAACAAGATTTAATTTATGGGGGACCCAAACACTAATCAATCAATTCTCACCGAAATCAAATTATTTGTATTACTCTATGAGGTCCATATTTTTTAATTCGTAAGTGATTATTAGACGTCGTCAGTTTAAACATTTTGTGAGAGAGAAACGACGTGAACGTATTCACCCACAAGGCGGCCACCTAAACCAATATATGGTCGAGATCACGACATGCATGATTTACGCAGAATTTAAGATTTGAGCTTCTTACCTATATAGTTTATATGCCATAAATAATTTTTTTCATTCATTGTAATTGAAGCGTGTGACACTTCTTATGGGTAAAATATTGAAATTTAATGTGTTATAGAATGCTTTAGCCTCGTGGCGTGTATATTAGCCTGGTGATTTATATACTATTCTTGTCGTCGTGTTATAACTCTAATACAAACTCGGCAATGTGTGAACTGTAGAAAGATGATGCTACATTATTTGTTGAGGTCACATATCGCTTACTAAAAAATATGCGATATCTGTGATTTGAATTGGCTTTAATATTTACATTACATATGAATACGAAGTTTTTCTATCGAATGTTAAAATCCTATTATTTAACTGTATGTAGTGGTCCATAGAAGCTAGATATATAAAAGAGTAAAATAATCCAGATTTTAAAGTTCGGATGTGAATAATTTTCAAAATATTTATCCAGGTGTAAATAACTTAGAAACGGAAATGAAAATACAGATTTTATGAGCCATCAACCCAAACACTAAGAAGATGCATAAGACATGGTATTAGGAGGCAAATGATTTGACAAATGCGTGGAATCTGATGTGACAAAGACTTGCCAAGGAAGATCTTATGCAGATATTTAAATATACATTGTGGAAAGATCAGAAAAGGATGAAGCTAATGAATTGATGGTATTAGCTTTGCCCAAAACCTATCATAGAATAATTTTTTTTCGAAGTTAAACCTTTAACATGTAAATTTGCTACGAATTTTTTTCCACTCTTATGAAAGTTTCGTGTATATGGTCTATAATATTTCGTCTCTTGGTGTTCGGGACCATCCATTAATATATAGATATATCATTTTTTTTTCTGAATAGAGTCAACTAGCTAGCGATACTGAATACTTTCGAACAGTGGTAGATCTCAAAAAAGTTTTTTACCAGAGTATAATACAATTAATTTTGAGTAATACTTGTATAAAAAATAATTTCTTTAATTATGCTTCTTTGTTTAGTATTGTTTAGAGTCAACTAGCGATACTGAATACTCTCGGTCTCGGAACCATTAAAACTACAAATTATTTGGCAAACAAATGTGTGAAGCAAAATCTTGCCTTTCTATATTTTCATAGGCATGTCACGAACGCTCTAAACAAGCTAACGAAGGCATTTTGTCTTCAGCTCAGAAAAGTTATACAAAACTATGCCCTAAAATAAAATAAAACTAATAGTTTAAGTCTGTAAAAAATATTAATTAATTTATGTAGTTCTAATGATATTTTTTTTTCTTACAGAATATTCTGTCTTTTCAATTTGCTGAGATATTAAACTAGACCAACGACGACTAAAAAAAAAAGAAAAATTCGATTAACAAAATGTCTAGTTGCAGTTTCTTCTGTTTTGACCATAGTCTAGTTATCTTTAATTAGATTTCAAGATAGAAATCTCCTGGTATTTTTTTTTTCCTTTTTCTATTTGATTTTCAGTTTCAAGAAAAACAAACGTACAAAATAAGAGAAACCAGCATGTACAAAAACCAACTCAGTCCAATACAAAAGGTCAAAACTCATTCCCCTATATATAATTAACTCACACATTTCAAATTTAGTAAAAACAATCAATCAAAATACTTTCACAATGTGTGCATCTAAAACTACAGCTCTTGGTCTCTTCGTTGCAACACTTATAGCGTCTTGCAACGCTGCCGCAAACGTCACAACAAAACCACTTTTCCCGGCGATTCTAATCTTCGGCGACTCAACCGCAGACACAGGCAACAACAACTACCATTTACAAGCCGTCTTCAAGGCTAAGCATCTCCCTTACGGCGTTGATCTCCCCGGCCATGAAGCTAACGGAAGGTTCTCTAATGGAAAGCTAATCTCTGATGTCCTCGCCTCCAAACTCAACATCAAAGAGTTTGTTCCTCCGTTTCTACAACCTAACATCTCCGACCAAGACATTGTCACCGGAGTCTGTTTTGCATCTGCCGGCGCAGGTTACGATGACCGGACCTCGCTCTCCAGCAAGGCCATCCCGGTCTCGAAACAACCAAGCATGTTTAAGGATTACATTGCTCGTCTCAAAAATATCGTAGGAGACAAGAAAGCAATGGAGATCATTAACAACGCTTTAGTGGTCATAAGCGCAGGGCCAAATGACTTCATCTTGAACTTTTACGATATCCCAACAAGGCGTCTTGAGTACCCTGATATCTATGGTTACCAAGATTTTGTCCTCAAAAGGGTTGACGGTTTTGTCCGGGTAATGTCTCAAATATCTTTGTTTTCTTGATTGATCTAGAGGTTAGTTTCTCATGTAGGTCTGAGACCAATGTATGTTGCTCTAGAGCTACTTTTCATATTTTTTATTATGTTGATTCTTTGGAATGTTGTCCTCTTGTGTGTACAGGAGCTTTATAGTTTAGGTTGCCGGAATATTGTGGTCGGAGGGTTGGCGCCGATGGGATGTTTACCGGTCCAAATGACCGCTAAAATGAGAAACGTTTTGAGATTTTGTGTGGAGCAAGAGAACAAAGACTCCGTCTTGTACAATCAGAAACTTATGAAGAAACTACCTGAGATCGAAGCCTCTCTACCAGGAAGCAAGTTTCTTTACGCCAACGTCTATGACCCTGTGATGGACATGATCCAAAACCCTAGTAAATATGGTATATATCATTTCTTCCTTGTCTTGCAAGTCATCAGAATCTCCTATTGACTCATGGTCGTTAAAATGAAAACAGGGTTCAAGGAGACGAAGAAAGGATGTTGCGGAACAGGGTACTTGGAAACGAGCTTCATGTGCAATGTCCTTTCAAAGACTTGTCCGAATCATGCGGATCACTTGTTTTGGGACTCGATTCATCCCTCGGAAGCTGCTTACAAACACCTTGGCAACTTCGTGGATGCTCAGATTCGTGGCTGGATTAAGGCTTAAGTCACTACAAGTTAAGAAATTAATCAATTTAAAATGCATATTGTCTTGGAAATGATGCAAGGCACAAATCTATGGCCCTATGGTGATATATGTAACCAATGGGTGCTTTATATTGGACTATGATTGGAATTTTTTTATATTTGATTGATACTATCTCATACAAGATAGCGTAGGCTACAAAGATTTTTAGTACTTAATCATGAAGTGAACTAGGTTGACTTTCTAAATCACCGGATTTTTGGATCGTATTGGTAGACTACTTGATCTTATAATAATTTTCTATCAAATAATTTGAGACTTTATATATGATCGTATTGGTTAGATTTTTTCCGACAACCCTAGCTATATGTTACCTTGTATATTGCCAATTTAACGGGAATTTGCTTAAGATGGCTCGATAACAACCTATCACTTCCAAAGAACATGTCTCTCACATCTATAATATGATGAAAACTAAAATATATAATAAACATGAACCATTCGATTTATTATTAATTGGTTTTGAATTAAAAATCCATAAAACTTTGACCGTACATATAGATTATAGTTTTTTTCTCTTTAAATATAAATGATACATTTACTGAATCGAAAACAGTGAATCCTAATTTCTAATCTAATTTTCTCCTCGTTGTAGTTAAAAGTAACTGGATCGACTGGTTGAACCACATATTGTATTTAAACAGATGAATATATATATATACATATATATATAGTGTATATATATATATATTTTTTTTTTGAGTTACCTGAAGCTTCTGGGCCAAAGTAGTAATTTTCTAAACCAGAAACAGATGAATATTTTAAAAGTAAAAAAGAAGAAAAACCTTTTTCCTTACGACTATAGTACTTTAAAAAAATGTACTCCAAGTCTACAACTAATCGTAAGAAAGAGTCAATAAATTCCAGAAAATTCATCTTTATATTGAATTTGACAACGACAACGTATTATCAAGATTTGCTGCACCGTCGAAGCAGTAGTCTCGAAAGGAAGAGTGTGACTGAGAGAAACATGACAAAGCAAAAGCTAACATGCAAGAAAGAACACGTCGTCATGTGCATGTAATCTAACCCCAACATTTACTCATTGCTTGCTTCCCTACCTATTAATTGATTGTCTTTTTGATATTTTATGATGCAACAAAACAAATCTGACGCATGAGTGACGTTAGATATGATGCCTTGGCAAATAGGTCTCTATCTCCAATTTTCAGGACAATGAAAAAAAAATCCTAATTAGGCAAGGCATATATCATGCATCGTACGATTCATTTGTGGTTCGTGTGTTTTTTTTTTTACTTTATTTATATACACAACATCAATGGGATACCCACATTTTGTTACAAATTATACGAAATCTTGGACTTAGGACTGGCTCTAATCTATTGATTTTTTATTCAACTTATTATTATTTTTTTTTGTAAATTGAAATAGCAAACATGAAACACAAGATAATTCACTCTTAAACGTAACTATGGCATTATTCTCCTAATTTTTTTACTCTTCGATGATTCTATTCATTTTCCCAATAGAATATTGTTTCATCTGTATTAGTCCTAGGCACTTTATCCGAACCCGACCCGATAAAAAGAAATCGAATCCGAACCGAAACCGATAAAATATCCGAACAATTTCTATATTTCTAAATTCGAAAAATTAAAACCGAACCAAACCAAACTAAAAATCCGAATTGATATTCAAAATATCCAAAAGATAATCATTTACCCAAAATACTAACTATATTTAGACTTAATAACCTAAAATTACAATTATAAATCGAATACATAAGTTATTTTTATTTTTAAAATGATGAAAAAATCTAAAATAATCTAAATATACTAAATGTTTTTAGTTTAATTTATTAAGTTTTATCAAATTTTATTTAAATTTAGTCAATTTTATTTAATTTTAATTAATTTTTATTTAGTTTTTATTATTTTTTGGATACCCGAATCTGATCGGAAATTACCGAATTTAAACCGAAATTTCAAAAACATCCAAACAAGTTAAATCTGAAAACCGAAAATCTGAAAACCGGAATTATCCTAACCGAACCTGATTGGATATCCAAACGTGGCTATTGTATCTTGTACAACTATTAATTAGGCCCAGCTTAGAAGGAGTGGCAACTCCTACTATCAGATGTTTCAATATGGAAACTAGTTTGTTGCAAGAGAGAAATCACGGCATGATCTTTTTGAGACTTAACACATAAAGATCATGCCAAATTCAAAAAAAAAAAAAAAAAAGAGAAACCATGGAATGATCTATCTATGTTTAAACTCGAAAGAGGTGAAATGCAGAAAATTTTAGATTTTCTCAGATTCAATGTGAATGAAACAATAATCATAAGATATTTTGTCGAAAATTGCATAAATATAGATGTGACTAATGCAGAGCTTGATGAACAGATACAGAAACAGAACCCAACTCTTCATCATCTTCTTCTGTCTTCCTCGTCATAATCCGTGGCTTCGCTTTCCACTCCTCCCAACCTCTTCTTACATTTTCCAGTTGCTCATCAATCAAACCATCGTTCCTCTCCAAATGCTCCAGCCACTCTTCCCATGGAGCTTTCTCTGCATCCAAGAATCTACTCACCTGTGGAACCATCACTCTTCTGTAAAACTCATCCACTTCTTTTTCCACTTCTTCTGATTCGCTCATTGCTTTAACCTCCGGCCTCTTGAATTTTCCAGGAGATTTAAGCACTTCGAAACTGTTTCCTCTCAAGATCAGTACTTCAGATGGAGCAAGAGGCAGAACGATTCTTGTGAACTTGTTCAGAGATAGTCTTATGATGTCTCTAGGAAGCAGCTCTCTCTTCACTGCCACGGCTGTTCCAATCATCTTCCGTATCTAACTTCCATTATATGTTTACGAAAACACTATTTTAGTTATCAATCCAAGTTCCTGCAAGAACATCGTTTTTATATCGATTATGTATATTAACCTGATGTAACATGAATGACTCGCCCCATATGGAGATTTCGACAAAGCAGAATCCTAGTGAAGTCTCCAGCTTTCCACAACGACAACGAAACACTTTTCTGAAATGAGCTGCGCTCAACTTATCTGTTTCGTCTGGCTCGTGTAGCCATTTTGCACGAATGTACGCCTGAGTATTATCAGACTCGGGAACTTCTTCATTAGATTCACCATCTGCTTCTTCTCCTTCAACTTCTTCTTCATTTCCTCTGCAGTTTTCCTCTGTATACTCTGATACTGAAGCTTCGAATTTTGGTTTCTTTGGAGGGCGTCCGTTTCTTTGGGTTAGTTTTTGTTTGGCTTTCTTCCTGTACTTTGACCTCTGTGTGTAGTTATGGAAAGGATAGTCACCCTACAAGAAAGACCAGTGCCAATGAAGCAAAAACCATAACAAGCTTTGCTTGAAACCTCTGAAACCAAAGAAATAATGCAAAGCTCACTCACCTCAAATTCCTTTAAAATTTCGTTGAAATCCGAAATGTGATCATCAATCTCATCTGAGGTAAAGCTATTCTTGACCCCAATAACACCAACAGGAAGGAGGTAAGAATACATACGCAGCGTACACTCCCTTCGAGGATCAAATCTCCTGTTAAGATGCAAATCTTTAAATTTTAAAACGACAAGCGTAAAAGAGAGCACCTAACATAAGTCAAGAGTGTCCAATCTATTTCAAAATATCTTTTCCAACTTTTCAAACATTAGGAATCATATTGCCCCAACTTCAGGAAATGATCAAAATCCTCACTCACCTTTGTGACGGTAAAACGCTGAAGACTCTGATATTCTCAGGAAGATGTTTGCTAATACACTTAGCAAGAACAGTGCCCTGAGGATCATCCTTCCACGCAGTATCAGGGATCTCCATTTTCAGCGATATTGTCGTTGCCAAAGAATGAACCTAGAACAAGTTTAAAACATCAAACAACAATCAAAGACACAAACAGTGAATATCTACATAAGAAGAAGATCACCATAAGTGGAAAAAAAGAAGAAGTTAAAAGCTTACTCCTTTATCGGTTCGGCTACTTCTAGCCCAACCAATCTTATGAAGATCACCAAAGTTACTATCTAGTATCCCACCAGCCTTGTATATAGCAACCTCCAATTCACCCTCAATTGCTACATTTTCAAAGATTCGTTAATTTAGCATAACACTCAACAGAAGAATATATTCTTACAGAGATTTCCAAGGTCCCTTAGAAGAATAAGGGTTTATGGTTTAGGATGAGATTCACTATCGAATGTAAAAACTTGCAACTTTGTATTGGAAAAATCAAAACTTTTTAAGATGGAGACAAAAGAGAGAACTAAAAAAACTTACTTTTCAGAGCAGGATCGTCTCTTTGAATTTGCAATCCTGAAATGAAGAACAAAATCACAATTTTGGAGTACAGAAGAATGGCTCTATTGAGAATCAAAGTTCAATAGGGAACTAAAAATCATACCTCTGTAATCGGTACCAACATACCCAATCCGAATGACGACCTTTTTCTTCCGATATGATTCCCATTTATCGGCGAGAAGTTGGCCGGAGTTATTTGAAGGAGACGGTGAGAGGGAAGTAGATTGCTGAAATGCGGCGGAGGAAGAGAATCGTACTAAAGCCGGTGTGACCCGAATGATTCGGGTTGGATACCAGAGGACCCGGGAAGGAATTGAAAAACGAAGGAACGAGACTGCCATATGACAAAAGTGGTCTGTTTCAACAATCGGAAAACAGATAGATAAAAAAGCAAAAAAAAAAGGCTGAAAGCTCCGGCGATTTCCTCTTTCAAGTGGGCGTTGTTTTTCGATAGAGTTAAACGACGCATAGTTTTTTAAATGAAGAGTGTAAACATCACGACATCACACCCTTGCACTTACTTTTCCTTGTTTCAAAACAAGAAGTTACTTGAATTGGTGGTAATCAAGATTACAGCCACCACAACAATTTGGTTATCTAAAACTTCTTCTCCGTTTTCTCTGCGGGTTTCCACTGTAAAATCTGATTCTGATGCTTTGATTGATTCTAATTTCTTTGGGATATATTTTTGTGGGGATTTTTTTTACTGTCCCTTGACCGCAATGTGTACTTATGGAAAAGTTTATGAAGCAAAAATAGTAGAGCATGTCCATTGAAGTTTTATAAGGGTTTGTTAAGGATTTCTAAACCAATATTTGGGTTTTAAATAAATCAAAAAAGGCCCATTTTCTATGGATTGGTCGGGATTCCTTAAAGATCCCTTAAAATTATTATAATATAAATTTAGAATTTAATTAAAGTTAAAAACCCTTTTTGGATTTGGTTTTCCAATTGTGAGCTCCTTTTAGGAGTCCTTAAATTTTTTTTTTTAATTTTTGTTTATGAATTACTTCTTTCTAACATAAATAATTTTATTAATAACTAAAATAAAATATTATATTTTATTAAATCAAAAGACAAATTTCATTACATAAAATAACAAACATATGAAATATAGATTTTGAAATCATAAAACGTTTAGTTATAACCGTAGAATTGCCAACTTTAGGCCAGATATGCTCAATTAAATCTTTTTGTAATTGGTCATGTGTTTCTCGGTCATGAAGTCGAGTTCTTCTGCCGATCAAATTTCCGATATTTGTGGCCCTTTCTGTAGAGTATGACGAATCTACATGTGAAGTTCTGCTTCCTTCTCCTTGTTCAAATTGTGAAACATCAGCCAGAGTGTATCCATTTCGTTCGTCTTCTACTATCATATTGTGTAGGATGATACATGATCTCATAATCCTTCCAATTTTTGCTTTATCCTAAATAAGAGCTGGGTTTTTGACAATTGCAAATCGAGCTTGCAAAACTCCAAACGCACGCTCAACATCTTTTCTGGCAGATTCTTGACATGTAGCAAATTTTGATGCTTTTGGATCTTGAGGGAGTAGAATAGATTTGACAAAAGTAGTCCATTTCGGATAAATGCCGTCTGTGAGATAGTACGCCAGATGATACTCGTGTCCGTTGACGAAGTAGTTAAATTTTGGAGCTCGTCCTTGCAAAATATCATCAAAGACAGGTGAACGATCTAGAACATTGATATCGTTTAATGTACTCGGAGGTCCAAAAAATGCATGCCATATCCAAAGATCCTGTGATGCGACATCTTCTAAGACAATTGTTGGTTTTCCTGAACCACGAGTATATTGTCCTTTCCAAGCAGTAGGACAATTCTTCCACTCCCAATGCATACAATCGATGCTTCCTATCATCCCGGGAAACCCGCGCGACTCGCCATTATCGAGTAGTCGTTGAAGATCGTCTGCTGTTGGTCTTCTTAAGTACTCATCTCCGAACAAATCTATTATTGCTGTTGTAAAATTTTCCAGGCATGAAATCGCAGTACTCGCACCAAGCCGGAGGTATTCATCAACCGCGTCAGCCGCACAACCATAAGCCATCATACGAATTGCAGCCGTACACTTTTGTAGTCCAGATAGACCAAACCTCCCGGCAGCATTTCTTCATTGCTGAAAGAAAGGAACTTCTGTGGAGAGGCGATCAACAAACTTGCAAACAAGCTCATTAATCCTGCTCCACCATTGTTTGAGAGGTTTCCACTCTCTCGGTTTCTCACCAAGCAGCTGGTGACTGTTGTTATAATACGTCTGTATTCTTTTCCAAAATGCTCCAGCCTTCTGCTCGTTTCCGACGACTGCATCTTTGCTTGTGTTGAGCCAAACACTGATCAGCACTAGGTCCTCCTTAGGACTCCACTTCCTCCTTTCTTTGAGGTCTTCAGTTGGTGGACCTGGATCATCAGAACACTGGCTACTAAACCGAGGTAGTTCTGATGATCCAAGCTCAATGGTATGTGGGTTTAGTTGACTAGTTAGGAGATTGACAAAGCTTGGCATGTTTGAAGGGTTTGGGTTTGTAGAATCCATAGAAAGAATTTTACAGTTAATGCGATTTAAAGGAGTAGGAAATAAAGAGTGTTTGAAGGGTTTCAGATAAGGAAAGAAGCTTTTTATGGTCGTTGAGTTTTGATAGAAGATGTGCGAAGGAAACAGATAGAGAAACAAGCAAGAGTTATGAGAAAGAAGAAAGAGTTATGAGAAAGAAGCAAAAGGTATGAGAAATAAGAAAGAGTTATGAGAAAAAAGCAAGAGTTAAGAGAAAGAAGAAAGAGTTATGAGAAAGAAGCAAGAATGAAGAGAAAAAGCAAGAGTTATGAGAGAAAGAAGCAAGAGTTAGGTTGAAGTTTTATTAAGAGTGTTTTGGATACTTTTATTATCGGTTTGTTAGGTTGAAGTCTTTTAATTTTGTTGTCTTTTAATATTGACAGCTTTTAATATTGAAGTCTTTTAAAATTTTGTCATCTCATCTTCAAGTCTTTTAAATCTTAAGTCTTTTATTTTAGTCATCACTGATAAACATTGATCGGTAGTTATTATTACCACAAACCTAAACACCTACCAAGCAAAGCATTGATAACCAAGATTGGACACCTAACCAAACACATCAACCACCATTTAATCAAGCATTTAACACAAATAACCATCAATCTAACTATAAAGCTAACTATACGGCCATCAACCTAACTATACAGCTAACAAGTTCTAAAAATGTACCTTGGTTCGGTGACACTGCATCGATGCTTGACAAGCTGGCTTCTCTCTTTGTTCCAACGGTTTACCTCACATAACACATCAAAGAAAAATTCATTAGAGAATACACACAAAGAAGAAAACATTAATGAAAGAAGAAGGATCAAAGAAACACACAAAACTTGCGATGTCATCCTAAACTCAAAGAACTTCGCAAAACCGATCATTCATCATTTCAAAAAAAAAAATTCATGCAATCTATAACAATTTCGACCATTCATTTCAAACTTTGAATTTTTAACAATCCATTTCAAACTTTGAAAGCCGATCATTCATCGATGAAATCATTCATCATTCATCATTTCAAAAAAAATTGATGAACTTCGCAAAACCGATTCAAGAAAAAAATTCATGCAATCTATAACAATTTCGACTTCAATCATGTCTAAACATCTAATACAGTAGATTGTTAGTCAAAACAGTCATCATAATATCGATTAAAACGAAAACGCCTAAATTTTTTTACAAACCCTAATCCCTAATTTCGAACGCCAAACACCAAAAATCTCACACAAATTCGAAAAATTAACACAACATACCTTACCGAGACTTCGAGATGATGAAAGCCTTCACCAAAAGCAACGAAATCGTCTTCGAACTCGCAGAAATTGATCGCCGGTGGAAGAAAAAATTTTGCTGATAAAAACAAGAACAAAACAAAATGGGAACTCTCGGGAAATTTTTCTCCACATGAGAGAGAATGTTAAAAAAATGGGCCAATCTTCACTTGCCACGTCGCATAAGGGGCGACCCTAAAAACACTTATACAAGGGGCGTCCCTCGTTTAAAGCCCAATTGTTTTTTATTTTTGGACCAAATTCTACCTATGGATTCGGGCCATGGACCTCCATTGGACATGCCCTTATGGACCGATCCATACAGAGTTTCATAAGCCACGTGTGATGATATTATTGGCTTGTAGAATAAGTAAATATGCAAAGCTCTCACAAAAAATTCTATTAAAATTTTGTTAAAATCCGAAATGTGAAAAATTAAAAGAATGAAATCAAGAACTGAGAAGTCTGTATATGTTTTTCAATTCTGAACAATTTGATTCTAATGAAAATGATGATATTTCGCAGTTGTTCTGGAACTAATCAGTGAATGAACAAGTGAGCCATTATTGCCAACAAAAGAGTAACTTAAACTAAAGTTATATGAAGAAGAGAGTTACTTTAGATCACCGATGGATTCTTCCAAGAGGGAGGCATCCTATTACCCTTTTTCTCAAAGAGTGTCTACCTGCTTCAATACCGGTTCTTACTCAAAGAAATGATACTTTTCTTTGGTCCACATCTGCTGGTTCATCGCTGAAGAAATTTTCTTCTAAGCTTACTTGGAAAGCTCTTCACCCGATGGCTTCGCTAGTGTCCTGGAAAAAATCTGTTTGGTTTCTTGGGCCATTCCCAAATTTTCCTTCATGGTTTGGGTTTCGATATGGGATAGACTTCCCACCAGAGATAGATTGCGATCTTGGGGTTCTCATCAAAGCTTTGCAGTACCGCCAATGAGACAAGGAGCCATCTTTTTTTCGATTGCGACTACTCTTCAGGAATATGGCATTTCTCATAAACAATGCTCGCTTGTCTCCCCCTCCCAACTTTGAAGATGTTTTAGTATGGGCTCACACTTCCTCTACGGACCGTACGATCTCTATTATCTGTAAACCAGTAAAAACATCTTGAGTAGAGTGTAACACATGGGGGTTAAGGGTTATCGTGCTTGTAGGCAGCGTGTTAGCTGGTAACAATTCTTGTAGGCGCCTTGAGGAAGATCCCACTTCACGGGTCTGCATGGTTCCAACTGCCATCAATCCTTTGCCTTTATCGGCAGGTACAGAAGTGGGCTGCATTGTTTCTCATTCCTGTCTTACTGGTTGTAACATTGGGTCTGGCACGGGGTTGTCATATAAACGGTCGATCAGATTTTCCCCTGGTATGTGTGTGGTTAAATAAACAGTTAGTGCATAACAAAACTTTATGAAGAACGGTTTAGCTTAGAAAAAATAAATAGTCAGTTTTACCTATGAGTGATATACATATGTCAATCTCCTCAGCTGAGACGAGTTCTTCCTCAGAGAAGTCATGTGTACATGATGAATTCGGGATTGAGGTAAAGACAAGCAGCCATCTACTTCATATGGAAACAAAGGAATGCCAGGCTTTGATGAGAACCTAACCTAAGTAAACCGGTGTTGACTAGGTCAAATATAGAGAATAGAGGTTTATATCCCCACCTCTTCACGTTTCTTAGTTGTAGATTTAGTAATTAGTTTTTTTATTTCTATTAGTATTTATAGGCATCGTAAAAGATGTAATCAAGGAAGAGAAAATTGAGAAAACTTGTTCAAAAGTCTTTGGGACCTACCACACCACCACGAACCGACCAGACCACAAATCCTTTCGCTCCACAACAACGTCCTGTGAAACTACAATTTCCACAGTTTAGCGGCGGAGATCCGACGGCTTGGATCAGCAAGGTGAAACAGTACTTTTCTTATCAGGATACGCCTCTTGAGCAGCGAGTGCAGTACGCGTCCTATCATCTTGAAGGTGAAGCCAATGAATGGTGGTAGGCCACATCGAAGGCTCTCGGAGAAGATCAGATCGAAGTGACATGGGCAGTGTTTGAAGAGGAGATGTGGGCTCGTTTCGGTCCAACAGAAGGTGATAATTTTGATGAGGCATTGTCAAAAATTCAACAGACGGGCACACTCCGTGAATACCAGCGAGAATTTGAACGCTTGCGAAACAAAGTAGAAGGCTGGACTCAGAGAGCTCTTGTGGGTACGTACCTAGGTGGTTTAAATCCCACCATCGCTGATCCCATACGAATGTTTAAACCAAAATCGCTGAAAGATGTGATCGGACTTGCAAGGATGCGTGACGAGCAGCTGCAAAAACAAAAGAAGGGTTCGAGTCTCTCCAGTTCACCACCACACAATTTCACACCAAGAACCACTCGGGAAATCTCAACCGTAGCTCCAAAGAAACTGAGCTGGGAAGAAATTAAAAAGAAGCGATAGTTTGGGATTGTGTTTCAGCTGCGACGAGCGTTACACGCCCAGTCATAAGTGCCGTCAATCCCAATTGCTGATAAAGGAAAGGAAAAACGAGACAGATGATGATGAAGCAGAGACACCCCAGATCTCGTTGTATGCTCTGACCGGTTGGAACGCACCAGAGACCTTGCGAATCTCTGCCATGGTGAATATACAAAACGTGATAGCTCTGGTGGATAGCGGATCAACACATAATTTCATCAGTGACAAAGCGGCCAGGAGACTCAATCTACAATTCACACGAACCACACCATTTGCTGTTCGAGTGTCCAATGGCTCTCCACTTCAATGTCACGGCCAATACAAAGATGTTCCATTCACGATGGGAGAGGTAAGAGCACCCTCAACAATTTATTATATAAAAGTTGAGTTGTGTCTCACAATCTTGACACATCAGCATCTATAATTTTGACACATCAGCCAAAAAAAAAATTCAAATTCTTATTTGATTGTCAAACTTCTACTCAGATTAATTTTTAATTCTTGAAGTTGGATTTATTTATTATGTGTTTCACATATCTTTTGGTAAAAGCAAAAAAAAAAAAAAAAAACATGTCCACAACTCAAAACAGGCAAAAACTTTATATCTGTCAAAATGAATATGAAATTCGCTTTGAATTATCCTCCACTATGTTCGGTACGTACGTAAATTAATTTTTACTTTCTCTTCTGGTTCATTCTCTATCATAATTATATTAATTTGTTAGTTCTAACTCAGTTATTTAGACAATTCTTTTATATGAAGCATCACTTGTTAGAGGTTTGAGAGTTATGAGGAGGAAGCATAGAGTTTTAGGAAAGCAAGAGCTGAGAATGAGAAGAGAGTTAGGGATCAGTTTAGAAAGAACATTTGGAGTTTTGAGAGTGAGGGAAATGGAGAAAATGAGGAGATGAGAGAGAAAGACAATCAGCAAAAGAAAGCGACAAACGAATTGCAAATGAATGTTTTTTTGAAATAATTTGTAAATAAAAATTGCTAAATTGAAACTAGAATTGGTGAAGGATATGGGAGAATTAGAGAGTTGTAAGTCTGAGAAGAAATGCACAGAGAAAGCTCAAGAAAGAATCACAAAAAAGGAAAATGGAAGAGTTAAAAATGGTCGAATTGTTGAAGAAACTAAGAACATACTAGATGTGTTGAACGAAAGGACCATGGAGTCTACTAATGGAGTGCACGGTAAAAAAA